TGAAAAAAATACAGGAATAGAAAGGGCGACGTTCCAAGGTCTCAGTTCCTTTTGAAATTGAAAAAAGACATTGCCATAGAACTAGAATAATGGCTGAAGGGGGAGTAGCAAGGAGTATTCAGTAGATAATGGTTCATGGGTATAAAGTCACACGTAAGTGGAATGATTTCTGGACTTCTGTCACACAAGATGACAAGAATAATGTATGACTCCATGGTAAACAAAGGTATCTTAACCAATTTTAGTCTTAAACATTACATTTGTATTTGTTCTTTATTTTAAACAAAACACACTCAGTCCTCTATTTTATCTGGTAGTTGTATGTTCCCTCTATAGCAGGCACTTCTGAAATGGTCCCCTTCACACTTTGAGAGCATGGGATAGTGCAGAAGGAGAAAGATTACTCAAAGATTACAAGGACTCCAAAGGGAGTCAGAGGGACTGCCATTTACTAGGACTTGTGAGAAATTCTGAAAGGATATCTCAAAACTTAAACCTCTGTAATCTTTTATAGATAGAACCAGGAAGCAAGGATCAAAAAAACCAAAGGCATCTGGGCATCATGTAGATGACAGGGGAAGAACAAGGGATACTGAGGATTCTGGGAATGAGATTAGATGATAAAGGCATGTGGGGGGGGGACAAAAGCCAAAGCATTCACTCCTTAAGGTAATGCATTTTGAGCTTGTGACTTGTTAAAGAATACATGTATAGCAGACATTTGTAACACAGCAATAGCAAGCAGCAGAGCAGAGCAAGAGCAGCCTGTGTCTTCATTGTTTAACTCTCACACATGTTGTTACCACACATTTACATTCTTACATGCCAGTTTAACTGGTACATGTGTGTTTGCCTAATGCGAAGTCATGGTCAAATAACGTAAGTTGCTGTGTACTCATGCTAGGCAGTAAGTTCACATCCTTAGATGTATTCAGACAACTGGGGCTTTGAAGCAGTCTAAAGTGATACCCCATATCCTACCCCCACAAAGATTGAAGGAAAGTCATCTCTTGTGAGCAGTTCATAGAGCTGAACCCTGTGCAAAATACTAGAACAAAAATAAAGGGAACAGCAGAACACTGCTGACCCCATTGTTACCACAGTGCAGCTTATGGCTACCAGGTGCCAGGTGAATCACAACCATTTCCACCACTAGACATGACAGTTCTTCTGTAGTGCCCAGATAGTAGATACCTCAAAATTCAGCTTTTGCAAGGCTTTTTGTACCTGTGACTGGTGGTCAGATACTGGGGACTTGGCCAAGATTCTCAGCCTCCCAAAAGAGTGCACAGCAAAGGCTTAAAATAAATGAGACAAGTGGTATGATTTTTAGGGCCACAGGAGGATCAAAATCTTCTGCGAAGTCTGAGTCTCTGTAGGTTAAGATGTCTCTGGGCAGCCTGTATTAATTTTTTCAGTCATGGAAGGGATTAGAGGGGAAAACAAGAAAACTCAGCAGATCTTGGGAGTGGTTCAAAGACTTCCAAATAGCAGATTATGTTAATTTAGGAGAAGTGTCTTGACCTTGAGTAGGATCCTGAGATGACATAGAAAGGCAAAGATGATTTTGTGCTAAGAAGAGTCAACAGGAAATCTCAGATGGGTAGTACCAATAATTCCAATTCTTTCTTTTATCCCAAAAGGAAATATGTAAAACCAGTCACTGTGAATTTGTGGTCCCCAATAGTCAGGGATATAAATGCAATATTCTCCATGTAAGAAGGCACAAAAACCTCCTTGAGCTGTAGTCAGCAAATCAAGAGCCATGCAGTTTTGTAAAACCACTTTTCTCATTTGAGAAGGAAGGGAAAATTAAGGCCTCTTTCCTCACCTTTGGATCCTGTTCTGTGGATCAAATATATAGACAAACTGGCTGATTTTCAGGAATACTCATACATCGGGGCTGGTCACTGAGAAACTGAACAACCTAGGGTAAAACCCATACCCACTTGGTGAACTTTGGAGTCAAGTAGTAGATTTTCAGTTTTAAGTAGGCTGTTGTACTTCTTAATCATGTCAGTGGTCTGTGCCCAGTAGGCCACATGGAAGTGCCATTGTGTCTGGCCCATTGTTTTTCCTGAGTTCTGTAAAATGGGTTCCTATCAGATGCTATTCTTACTGGTATCCCACACACTAGTCAACCACTGTAAAACCTTAATAGTGAGCTTGAGCAACAGAGGGCACGAGGTAGGCAAAGCCTACGCCTGTGTATGTATCCATAGCAGTCAAAGCATATCTATGTCTCTGCTAAAGGTAGGGGCCCAATACAATCCACCTATCATTGCTGTAGTGGGTGGGGTGCTAGTGGTATCATGCCAAGTGTTGTGGGCACCCTCTTCCTCCAGGAGACAAAACGAGCACGTGAGGGAGATGCCTTTACTACAGCTTTGACTCAGAAGGAGTCAAGTCCATGTGTCATTGCTATGCTATTTGCATGGGATGGGTCCTACATGTTCCAGTTTCTTGGGGATCCAAGGTACCACTGCAGAAGACAGCCCTCAGAAAGCAGATACCTTCATCAAGGAATCTACTAAGTCTTTTACAGGAAAGAAGGGGCTTATGTCCTGAAACACGATATACTTCACGGTTTGTGTCTTGGATACACTCCTGTAAGTCTTGTCATAAATTAGCATTCCACAAGGCACAGATACCCATCTGACATTACTGAACCATGCAAGCTGACATCCAGAGGATGAGCCCCTGAAACATAGCCCAACTATCTATGCACAATTGTAGGGCCCCTTTTCACGCATCGTAAGTAGTTTTGTTGTCGGCAACTCTGCCCATTGACTTTACCTTCCTGTCCGGGTATCAAACTAGAGTACTTCTGTAGTGGGCTGGACAGTGACCACTGTGCATTGCAGGGCTGTGCCATGGCTGGACCCCTCAGTATGCCAGATGTCAGCTTGAGAGCCCTACTTCCCTTTTGTATAAGGACTAGGGGTTAGATCTTATAGACTGTTCTCCTGGTCTCCTGTGAATGTACATCATGAATCTCTAAACCATTGCCAGTTTGGCTGACCAAAAATGAGGCCCACTGTTGGGATGGGACATCCACTTGTGTACCCAGCTCCCCATCCCGTATTTTGTCTGCACTTCCATTGTCTATTGCCCTGTGATGCTGAGCATCATACCGTTTCCATTCTCAGTCAGGCAATTTCAGCTCTAGGCTCCCTTTCACAACTGTGACCAAAACCCAACAGGGTGAAGCACTTCCTCTGTATTTGCCATAGGCCCCAGCAAAACCCAATGTTATCCACATTAACATAAATGGCAGGGTAGTGTCAATTCATAGGGCTCACACCTACACAGCTGTGCTCTTTGAGTCCTAAAATGTAGCCTCTGCTGCATCTGTTGAGTCCCAGGTAGCACCCTTATGGATCACTCGGTAGAAAGTGTGCAGATGTGTATCTGGGTGCAGTCTGAATGTCTGCCTGAAACCTTGCAAGCTTGCATATACCTGCAACTGGCATACTGTCATGGGTCTGGGGTGTTTGGATATTATCACTAACACCACAGGGAATTACTTTCATATCACCCAACACACCAAACAATGGGATAGATAAGCCTGGGCCTTATCTTCATTCACAGCCCACCCCCGGGCTGCAGAGGAGTCTTCAGACTGTGTGTGGTGGCTTGCAAATCTGCAAGGCAATCAGAGGTTAACATAATACCATCAATATAAGGAAACAGTGACACAGTATGGCTTGCTTCAAGAGGCCAAATCCTGGAACACTAAACCAAGACACAAAGTTGGGCTATGCAGATAGCCTTGTGGAATTACTTGGAAGATGCATTACTTACTCTCCCAGGTGGAGGAAACCTGATTCTACCAGGAGCAGTAGCAATGAAGTTCTTGATGTTGGCCAAATACACAACACAATGGTATTGACCCAGTGTCAGGGTGAGATGATCCATCAAGTCTGCAATGTTAAGCACCTCCACATGTAATGGAAGAGTCAATTTATTCAGTTCCCATTAAACATTCATTCTCCATGTCCCCTCTGGCTTCCACAGGGACCATATTGGGGAACTGAAAGGCCTCTGTGCAGGGTGTATCACCCCCGCTTCTGTCCTGTTTCATCATTGCCTCCAGGCAGTCTGTACTGCTTTATACACACATCCTGCATAGCCTGTGAGCGAGTTACCAGTTCATGGTGTGGAAAGCCTCAGACTATAATTGTTTCTACATGAATTTGCAACCACAATTTTCCTGTATGATGTCTTGCCAAGTATTAGTCAGTATGTCCACCCACAATATGAATTCAGCAATTGGGAAAACATAAACAGCATAAAGGTATCGGGGTAGTCAACACCCATGTTACTTAAGTTTTCTATTGTATTTCAGTTTTTGTTTCACAGAAACTGGTTTCACATTTTGAAGTTCACCAGTAAATTTTGCCAAACACTTAATGGAAATAAATTATTTTACATATGTTCCTGCAGAAAAAAGAAAATGAAAAAAACTTTTCCTCAATCAATCAGTATGTCCCAGACACAAGATTACTATTTGAGCCTAAGATGTAAGTCTAAGCTGTGAGAGTCTTGGAAGCTCTGTTTCTTTTTCTGATATAGACCTCTAGGTGACCTGGGGCATGGGGACCCAGCTAGAGGGCACAGGGACAATGACCAGGAGAAAAGAGCCCATGAGGCTGACAGAGCCTCCTCCTAAACCTAGGGCAGGGTGTAGGAGGGCTGAGAAGGCAGACAGCTTCGTTTTCCAGACACACTGCCAACCCAACTCACCCAAAGGACCTGGAAAAGGAACACGGTCCAGACACCATGATGAATAAGGGCCCCACACAGTCAACTAGAAAGGAGTGGCAGACAGCAGAGGGCTGCAGAGCAGATTGTGGAAAGAGCTGAGGAGTCAGTGACAAAGGACATGCCTGATTTGGGACCATATTCATTAATTCAGAATTCTGTAGCTCCACAAATACTGCCCCCTAGGCTGATTCGGAGGTGCAGGAAGAGAAAAGAAAAGCAGACACAGCAGCACATAAATAGTCCACACTCAGTTTATTGATTCCTTCAGCTGTAATCAGGAGAGGAAAGGTGGTGTCTTCAATTCTCAGTGAGACATCAGGAGCATCCCCTGCCTTCCGACGGCATTCCTAGTTACTGTGGGAGAACAAAACACACATGCTCAGCTATGGATAGCAAACTCCATTCCACTGCAAAACATGCACACACAGTAGTGCTGGGTGGATTCATGGGACAGATAAAAGAATTCTTGAAAGAATGTACACAATTTTGTTTGTTAAATGCTTTGTCCAGAGTAAATTATCTACATTATTCTTTTCCATGATTTCTAAGGAACTGTCATTTTTAATGAGAAGTATTTGCAAATGAGACATTTTGACATTTTTAAATGAAATTTTGTGAATGAGACAATTTAATATATTTACCTTTTTAAGAAATTATGTACTCTACATATTAATTTAACTTTTCCCATATCTTTGAAACAATCATTTTTGGATTTATACATTGCAATTTTTTGGTCCCATGATAACTCATACATCATAAGCAACGGTGCTTATAGTATCTAACAGATAAAATAAACCATAAAGCAACCTATTATAAGGTTGCTTTATGAACTAATTTATAGATCTTACATATTAGCTTTTCCTTTCTAATTCCATTCTGATAATAAGTACAAGGTTTCACTAAATCTAACAGTACATTACTAAATTGAATTAACATAAACTAAAAGATTTACCAAATTTGACAGGAAAATTTGTGAGTGTAATCCAAAGAAATTATGTTTTCTTTGGTGTATCCCAATATAAGACATGTGAAATTATTCAGCTTAGTTTTGCATACAAATTATAATCATCTTTTCTATTATATTGCAAAAAGGTTCTTCTCTAAATATTGCAAAAGTAAGCTTAATAAAAATTTAGTTTAAGAGTTGTTTGGTTAATTTAGACTTGTTCCTAGAATGATAAATATTAATTTGGTTTTGGTGCAGTACTGTGTCAGTTGTGGCTGCCTTAAAAATATTAAGTAATTTTTGTGAATTATCAACATTTTCCTTGTTACTTTTCAACCTATTTATTTAATAATATTTTCAAGGTTGCTTACCTGCTAGAATACTGTTGGGTCCTATCTTCTGGTATGGACCTACATAAAAATAGTATTGATTAGTTAATAGTAAGACACTTGGGTACAATATTAGTGAAGAAAAGGCCATTTTATACAAAAATCAACTCTTTTAAACATTTAGAGCATGCAAACATGTACTGTTACTATTTCTCCAAACACCACATACAATACACCACACTGAATTTAAATTCTCCAGTTAAGAATAGTCTGAAGATAGCAGAGATCTTTTATTTTCTTTTGACTTCTAAGCACAGAATATAAATTTAACTCGAACTTCCTAAATCTGGCATTTAGTTAATTTTTATGTATTCACATACATCTTGCTACATGTTGTACATTAAAATTCTTCTTTACTTCAGGTTGTTTTGTGAGATTGCACTGCTGGGAACACTGGAGCTTTGGCCCCAGTTCCACGTGCCAGGACAAAGATTCAGCTGCTCAGTTCCACTACCCACAAGACTGAATCAGCAAGCATAGAAAGTGTGTCAACGTTCACGGCCCAACAGAAGCACAACTGAAGCTTCTCCTCCTCGCAGTGTATATTCCCACTCTCCGGGCAGGCAGAATAGCTATGAGAACGCACGCTGTTCATGGGGAGGACCTTACAAAAATAAGACATCCATGGCCACAGCACAGTAAAACAAAAAATTCACAATCTGAGAACAGGAGATGGACAGCAGGGGGAGAGAACAAGGCCACATCAGGAAGCAAGCCCCACCTGCGAGTCGGCACCATGCGCGGGGCACCATCAGTGTGAGGCCTCTCCCCATGAATCAGCACTGTCCGCAGGCTGTGTGTGGAGGAGCAAGGCCATACTAGGAACCAAGCCCAGCCAGGAACCAGTGCCATGTGTAGGCCACCAGAGCGGGCAGCCAGATCCCAGCCCCTTCTGGCATACCAGTTCACAAGCAAGAAGTACCAACCTCCCACCCCAGGGAACCGACTGGCTGATCTGTAGAAACACAGGCTGTGATGATAGCTATGAAGGTGAAATGCAATTGGATGCCTGTGGTGCTCTCGTGTTTCACTGACATTGCAGGTCTAAGGCCAGATCATCTGTTTAGAGGATGGCGGTATGCAGTGTGATAACAAGCGGCAGGGATCTCTTCTTGAGGGTGGCAACCATTGTTGAATCCCTATCGTCTCATTTTGAAGCCCTGGACCATTTCCACTGTTTCGTTGGGTTGGGTTTTATTCTCTTTTGTGTTGTTTGATTATGTTAAATCTGATGGCATGTTTCAAAGATAGCAAAATATGTTATGGTAGCCATGTTGGATCTAACATTGGCTTGTTTTGAAGGCCTTTATTGGATTCACTGTCATGTTTTTATCGTTTCTACTCAATTCTGTTCTGTTGATTTTTACTATGTCCAAAGGTATCTGCAGCTATTTTGAAGACAACAAAAGGCATTAGGGTAAACTATTGTTGATTTCATAATGTTTTGAAGTCCTGTATCACTTACACTGGTTTCTTTTGATTGGTTTTATTCTGTTTTATTTTCCTTGGTTTTATCGTCTTTGAAATAAAATTTAAAAAAGAACAACAGAGAGCATGAAAACCTTTACAAAGTGTTTAACATCTCCACAGAAATAATGGCAGGAGTAACACAACAAAATGATATGTTGTTGGGGATTTAGCTTAGTGATATAAGCACCTGCCTTGCAGGCACAAGGTTGTGAGGTTGTGAGGTTGTGATTTCGCTCCCTGGTACCAAAAAAAAAAAGACAGAAAGAAAATATGTGGTAAAAGTATGGGTGATAGTAAAGTGACATGCAGAAGTCAAACAGTGTCAGACTGATAGGGACAAGTACAGATTTATGAGAAGACCCACTGAGAAACATGGAAGCTATATTGATTACTTATTGATTCCTTTTCCTTTTTTTTTGGACAGGGTCTCACTGTGTAGCTCAGACTGGCATTGAGTCAACTATTTAGGCTGGCTTAGGCTGGCCTCAAACTCACACTGATTCTCCTGCCTCAGCCTCCCAAGTGCTAGTATTACAGGCATGCATCACCACCCCTAGCACGAACTACTTTGAGAAGACCCTACTAACTGAAGTCATTTCAGATAAGGAAAAAAAAAAGACCAATGAAGAGTGAAGAATTGAAGAGATCCAGTGGAGCCCTGAAATTCACAGGGGTTATATCTGTAGAGTACCCCAAAACTGAAAAACTGCAAATTTCAGGTATGATCAGAACAATGTTTCTGAATGCCTATTTTAAGGTTTAAACCCCCAATATGCTGTGTCTCCTGCATTTATGGGATTTAATTTAATAAAATACATATTAGTAAAGACTTAGAAGGTGCAATGTCTTTTGCAAAATCTTAGGGATTTGGGGGCTTTAAGAAGAACAAAACTAGGAACACTGCAGACAGCTGCGCCCTGCACAGCACCTGTAGGGGGCATGACTGCAGCTGCGCCTGCCAGAGGGTTTTCAGGGCAGCAGCTAATCAGCAGCAAGGAGAACTGAACAACGCTCTGCAACTGTCTACTCGCAAACTCCTCACCAAAATAAATAAATAAATACATAAATGCATGTTGAGGATATTATTAGTTCGGTCCTGAGCAAAAATCCACAAGTGACTGAAGCTGAGAACGCCGACCACTACTAGAGTAATGCAATTCTTTGTGGAATTAATGCCATGAGTCTTGATGTCTAATGATTTTGTTGAATCCAAAGCTGGATAAATTTTTAAATGCTGTATCAAAACACATGCTGATATAATATTTCAGACAAAGAAGAAACCCTACAAGCCACCTAGATTACATTATTACACCTAGAAAACATACATTAATTGGAAGAAAATAATCAGGCTAAAACTGATGACCACTTACTGACCTTAACCAGTACATTATGACAACAAAATATTTTAGAAAGAGGTTCACTAATCTCTAGCCATACAAGCTATCTTTCCAACTGAATGTGAGAAAGTCACATTTGGCCATTTACCACAAAATGTCTGTGACACACAGATGCTAACTAAAAGTTAAAAGGGTTACATTTTGGGAACAAGGAAGTGGGCCCAACGATGAAGAGTAAATGGGTTCAAGAATGAAGAGCGAGCAAAAGGGTTGATGAATGACTTTAAGTCTTTATATAAAAGTGACAACAGATGGAGGTTGCGGCTACACAGGTAAAAACCTGGAAGACACAGATAGTCCAATGACAACAATATGGGAGGGCTCCTGGTCAGAACTTCCTGTTAAATAGTCTAAGGACCACTGGGGATTTAGCTCAATGGCATAAGGGCCTGCCTGGCAAACACAAGGTCGTGAGTTCGATCCCCAGTACCAAAAAAATAGATAATAATAATTAATAGTCTAAGAACCTTCTCTCGTTTAGGAAATGACTGGAGATACGGACAGAAGTTAAACATTTAAAAATTCATTATACTAAAATAGTATTCATATGACGCAGGTGGGATTCCTCCCACTTCAAGGCTTTTTGGTTTCAACATCCTTTCCCGGTAGCTTTCTGCCTGTTTAAGATTCACCAGAGATGAATGAGCTGAAAGCTACAGTTTCAAGTGAGGTTGTTAAAATTTAAATGAGCAGTCATTCTCAACATGTTTGTCTAGTGCACAGTAAGCCAGAACTTTAGACCACTGAACTGTCACTACAATTCACACTGTTCTAACTACAATGTGCATTTTCCTGTAGATAATGATGTCAACAGTCACTCAGTATATCTGAATAACAATCCTCAGAGAGTTCTTGTTAACTAGTTCTCAGAATGAAAGATGATATGAGAGGAGAAGAAATAAGAGTTCGGAACATTACAGATACATGAATGTGTGTGTACTTTTTCTACGTACATTTTTCTTTCTTTTTTTTTTTTTTTGGTCGTTTTGAGACAGGTCTCACTGCAGTTCAGACTGGTCTGGAACTCACTTTGTACTCCAGCCTGGCCTCTCCTCACGCCTTAGCCTCTCGAGCGCTGGGATTACAGGTGCATGCCACCACATCCCCAGCATCCCTATGCACTTTTACCTTTGTGTTTTATTTTATTGATCACTTACTATAGGCATCTATTCTGCTACATGTTGGTTATGCAATACCGAGTGACACAAGCACAGTCTTTATCCTCGGAAATGACAGAAAATAAGAAGACATATCTCAAAATGGGGCAAGGTACCCAAGACTTGTTATGCGCAAGGATAACATAATAATGAGAGGACATGATTAAGGAAACTATGCCTTTTACTTTAAAGAAACTAATTCATGATTCCAAGGTGTAACTTTAAAGAAAAGACCATAACAATAATGGTAATAGCAATGAGATTAAAAATAAGCAAAGCTTTCGAATGACACTTTCTGTAAGGAAACTTCTGGAGTTTGATCCTATGGATTTGGAAGAGAACTGGAATGGGAGGAACCCAGAAAAAATAACACCACCTCCATGTGCACATAAACAGAGACCATGAGTGACAAGGAGGAGAGGAAGCCCCACACTACTTAGATCTTCAGGGACATAATCTTCCAGAGCACGAAGGGACACTTAGTCAAGGCTATTCTGTAATACTGAAAGACTATGGGTATTACACAGTTTGTTGCTTTAGAGTAATTTTTCCTCAGAAAAATTTTTCTCAAACAACCCAGGATGCAGGCATTCACTCAGCTATTCATGACTTTATAGTTCCAGATTCTTCAAAATAAGTAAATGTCCCTTATGTATACTCCTGAATATGGAAGCAAACAGATTCCGTGTGTAAGTTAGTCTCCCACAGGTTTCGCGCATCAGCTTTTGGGATCCAAAGAATAAACTTTCAACACACATTAAATTATAAAAAGAAGAGACGAATTTGCTTTGATAAACTTGTTACTAGATTGGCAAGTATTAACAGGTTGCTATTAGAGATGGTACTTTACAACTCACAGCTACTCTGTTAACTGTGGCTACCTTGCAGTTAATGGAGGGCTATGGATTTATTCACAGTGATATTTAGCACATATCAAATGTAAGTAATATCTACCTACTTATTTACTTACTTGGTAGTATCTGCTTGGCTGCTGCTTTCTGCTCTGGATCTAAATGTGGAGGAAAATAATGCTTTCTAATGAATATGAAAAATGAATGTCAATGAACAACACATGAATGTCAGGTCATTGTATAACTTACATATCAATCAGCACATTTACTGAATACTTTCAAAAGATTACCAAAATAGGTTTATGCAAATAAATAAAGTCTTTATTTACCCGTACATCAAATAAATAACAGAACAAGTTCACATCCACAATTAGGAAGAAGAGTCAGAAAACAACTTATTTTGCTCTTATCACTTTTAAGCATAAGACATGCATCTGATTTTGAATTCTGCATTTTTAATTTTTTTTACTCTGGTTTTCAGGTTCCAACCCAACATCTTATCTATTGATAAACAAATTACTCCAGCTTGTGATTTAAAACCTACAGTGACTTTCAGGCAGCTAAGTAGTCTGGGCTGATAGTAATATCCCATTTCTGCCCCACAAATACAGAAAAGATGAGGAAAAAAAAGTAACATAGAACTAATTAAAATCTGATAAAAAGATATTTTAATGAAAATTTGAAGAAAAACGAGATATTTCTAATGATATTTAAAAATAAAGGAAAAAAGGAGTCTGATCTTTCTCCAATGCAAAGGGCATTGGAAATGGGATGAGCAGAAATGGGATGGAGCAGAGGGATGGAACAGAAAGAGGGGAAAAGGAACGTGTGTCATGTGTTACGTACATTGCCAACCCTGAACAAGAACTTAAACATCACAAATGTGTACCAATAAAAACTAAATAAAACAAAACTAAAAACATGTAACAGATTTAAAAGTAAAACAATTAATTTTCAAATTACATAGAGGAATCACTCAAAATACTAGCTGAGCAGAGAAAATAATATTCAAAAGACCACTTAAGAAACATGAAAGAATTTGGACATATCACATTAAGAAAAAAGTCAATATTTGAGGAGAAGTCCAAGTTTTCCCAAACTGAAGAAATGCAAGGGTCTCTACAGTAAAAGAGAATAGAATCCAGCTCATGTACTGTCAAAAATAGTGAGACTGAATTTATGGTTAAGAAACATAAAAAGGATACAATACTATTTACTGATGATAAAAAGAGTATAAAAGTGTCAGTCAATGTAACTAATTCTCATATTAGTCACTTTCTCATCTCTGCGCTTATTTTGGCTCATGTTTTAGGGGAGAATTCTGTTCGTGGTCAGTTGATCCAAAGCAAAAATGGCATTGTAGAGGGCACAAATGTTCAGCCCCTAACTTCCAAGAGAGAAAGAGCTAGAGAACTAGACAGCTAGAGAGCAACCGGGCAAGAGTGAGCCAGGGAACAGCACAGCCCATCCGTGCCTGTCTCAGGGCTCAGCATACATTCAGCTCCTGATGACTCTCAGGATAGGTGGAATACCCCCTGCTCTAATCACCATCCATGCACATAAGACTTTTGGAGGACATTTTAGAACTGAACCACAACAATTCTCCCCAAAACATAACGGTCATACATATCAAAGTCACACATTGGGATTCATGTGCTCTGTCACAATCTATTGAATTGTACACATTGGTGTGCTTACCCAGCCAGTATACTAACATAACCTAAACTGGATAATGTAAAAATACCATATTTTACTTTTCTTTACAGCAAGTTCCCAAATTAGGAATACTACAGTAGTTCCTGACTTAGTGAACCCTGGAGTGCAAACTTTCGCAGATATGAACAGACCTCACATTGCAGACATTTGTAGATGTGAGCAAACTGTGGAAGCTCGCGTGTCTGCTGGACATAGTCACAGGTGAGCTGCTGCGTGTTTCTGCCACAGTGTGCAGTAGTGCAGTGCTCAGTCAGAGCCCAGCGCGGCCGGAAGCAGCAGGAAAAGCAGCGGGGACGGGAGGGCACTGCGGGGAAGCACAGAGCTATCTACTTGGTGTGTTGGTGTCACAGGTGTCTTCGACTCACTTTGTTGGACTCATTAACATTTGCCCAGAATGAACTAATTTGTTAAGTCAAGGTCTTACCTTCAGTGTAGCCTGCCAACATTTATTAAAGTACAAATTTATTGTATACTCAATTACTCTATTAGCATTTTCTATTTTAGTGCACCGTTTTTACCAGTTGAAAGTGTTCAACAATATTTAGAAACTGAATTAACAATTCGCTCTAGTTTTCAGCGTGAATCTGCACAATACTTTCTAAGTTACTCACCTGCTGATATATGTGTCAGTGCTGCCTTCTGATTTATATCTAAAAAAAATTGAAAATAACAACCAAATTATTACTAAATATGTTTAACAAATTTGGGGATGAATGTCAGACTATTATACCAACAGTATTATCTCTTTTATAAAACTAGTTACCAATAATTAAAGGGTAAAGATCACTGAACAAAGATGAAGAAAACACACTTACTGTCTCTTATACTTAAGAGAGAAGGAAGAATCCAGGGAGGGAGGCAGGCAGTTCAGGGTCACACCGTAGTAACTCACCTCCTCCTCCTCACCGGTTCCCGGCTCCTTACAGCACATTCAGCTATGAATTCATTACAGGACTATTCCATTGTTAAGAATAGAGCCCCGTGACCAGTACCCTCTAAAAGCCCTGCCTCTCAACACAGAATCTGAGGTGAGATTCTAGATCTTACTATAATAACTCCCAAGTTTTTTTTTTTTTTAATCTATTATTCACAGTAGCCAACATACTCTTTCTGGACAATCCTCCAGTTCATAGCTCCTGCTGGACAGCACACTAATTGTGGTACAGAAAAACCTGTACTTGGGCTTCCCTCTTGGGTTAAAATAGCAACTGCACACTAAGAGCTGGTTTTCATCCAACTTGGATTTAGGTCACCATGCACTACTGTAATACTATAACTATCCACTGACTCATAGAAAATAAGTGGCCTGGTTACCATTCCTGGAAAGACAAACAGAAATGAAAAACCACATTATAAGCACTTACATAAATAAGTCTTTAATATGTAAATGATACCACATATAAACAAGCATTAGAAAGGTTTTTTTTGAAAGAAACTATGATCTAGATCTCATCTAATTAAAATAGGACAGCAGAAACCTACCACACAATGACCACTAGAGACAAACTCAAAAGAATTAAAATAGTAATTTCAAGGAAACTTGAGTCTCATGAAAACACAAAGAAACAACCTGATGGTCTCATAAAGACCCTGTAGTGAGAGGAATAATTGAAAAATGAAATTGCTAAAGACAGTAAGTGCAATTAAAATATGATAAAAGTTTCAATAACAATAGATCAAGCAGAAGAATCAGTGAACACAAAGACAGACTTTGAAAATACAAAGTTGGAAGACAAAAATGAAAAGAAAATCATAAAGCAGCAGTTTACAGGAAGTTGGAGAGAGCAGTAGCACAGTGAATACTTCAGTTATCAGCTCAAGAGGTTCTTGAGAATGCCAAAGCAATCAAAAGCTACTTAAAAAGTTAGTGAGAGACAACGCTCCAAATTTAGATAGCTACACAAATATCTAAGTATACAAATATTCAGATAAAGGAAGTTCAGAAGTCACCAGTCAAATTTCCTCAAATACACCACCTCCAAGTTATTATCAAGCTCACAAATATTAATGATAAAGGGAAGATGATCCAGATAGCAAGATAAAAAAAAATAATCAACATGTAAGAGTGCACCCCAGTTCACCTGACACAGACCTCTCAGCAGGAACGTTACAAGTCAGTAGAGAGTGGAGTGGGATTTTATTTATTTATTTATTTATTTATTTATTTATTTGAGATTTTCATAGGAAAGAAAGAAAGAAAGAAAGCATGAAAAAAAGAAAGAAACCTGCCAACCAAGAATACTGTACTCAGCAAAGCTATCCTTCAGAGATGGAGAAGACATTCCCAGATGAGAAATACTAAGAATTTTCAGAATGAAAGAGATGTTAACGAGTTACACATACATGTGGTAAAATGTTTAATATACAAAAGCTGCCAATGTGCAGATTATTCTCTGCAGGAGAGCGGGAAAGGATCACAGTGAAGGGACCTGAAGGTGTAAAGACAATGATTTATTTTTTAACAGCAACAAGGAAAACAACAGTTGGTTATTTTCTGTGATAGGTAAAGGTATGTTTGCCATCTTGTTCTCTGCCTTTGTGTTTGAATTTTAAAACTAGAAAACACAAGCAAAAATTATTTATCTGGCTTCTGAAAATGCTACTTAGAGAATGTTTTTTGAAAGTTGACATAACAAAGTAAAGTGGAACGTTTTGCCTATGGAAGGGTCAGAAATGTGCATTTCCAATAAACACCTCTGATGCTCATGAAGGTGACACAGCTCACAGCTGAAAATCTCTAGAATATTTGAAGGTCACAGACATGGATACATTTGAGTTCTTACTCTGTCAATTAACAAAGTATTAACTTGGGCAGGTTATGATTCTACTCCAAAATCTTCATACCTTTAAGCTGGGGATATTCACAAATACCTCATACAACTGAATTGAGATATTGACATAGTATTAATAATCCTGGTAAAATGCAAGGCATTGTGACTGCTGCTGATACTGTCTTACGTAGTATGACATTCAAATGCTGTAACATTTAACTTCAGAATACAAACTGAACTTACTCATCACTTAAAGATTCCTCATGGTTGGAGAACCACTTTTCCAAAGTGTACCATACCACAACTATTATGGATGGTATGATGAGAACAGGCAAGCCAATGTAGAAACTGAGAAGCCAGTTGTTTCTAGCCTTCCTAGAAACTTCTGTGATGACTAAATCTGAAGATAAAAAATACATTAAAATTAAACTGTCTGTTTTCACTTTCGGGTTACAACAAATTCACTGAGATATTCTCAATTATTATTACTCAAGGAGAATAGAAAAATATGGAATTATGAGACGAAATGATATTAAAACATTACTCTTTATTTATTTTTTCAAAAAGTGAAAAACTACTTTGGATCAGAGTTTTAGAGGCTTTGGTACTGCTGGCATTTTAAAATTCTTATATTTAGTAGTGTGTTTGTGGCACATTATGATCACATTCACTATGGGGAATAACACAAATTGCCTATTTTTCTTTTTTTTCCCCTTCCCCCTTTCCCTACAATTCTTCTTTCCCCATTTACAAAAGCTCTATTTCCATCTTTTCAATTGTTTTTTCTTTAAATGCCTTTTCTCTTCCTTCCCTCACACTGTATTCTCTTTCCCATTTGAAGAAGTTCTTCCTATCTCTTCATATCTATCCTCCATTTTACTCCATATTTATACTTTGAGTTTGTCATGCAAGAGAAACATTGTGATATTTAAACTTGTGTGTCTCATTTATTTCACTTAAGATTATGATCTTATGTTACTTCTATTTACCTAAAAATGTCTTAACTTTGTCTTGGTAGAGCAGTACCACACTGTATGTAAGTACCACATTTGTTTTATCTAATCATCTGTTGATGGGCATATGGGCGGTTCCCAAGACTTAGCTAGTATAAACTGTGGTGCTGTAAACACGAGGTATGATGCTTTTAACTCTTTCCGGAGGATACCCAGGAGGGGAACAGCTGAGTCAAATGGAATCTTTAGCTCTAGTTTTTTTTAGGAATCTACATACAGATTTCCATAGTGGCCATATCAGTTTATATTCTCACCAACAATGGATAAAGAATGGTTGTGTGCTCCGAAGCCTTATCAGCATTTGTTATTGGCTGATTTCTAAATGACACTAACTCTTTCAGGAAGGAAACTGAAACTAAGTGTTGTTTCCCTCTGTATTTTTTCCAGTGTACTGTACTTGTCAGCCATTTATACTTCTTCATCTGAGAAGTGTCTATGCATTTCATGGGCCCATGTTTTGACTGGGTCTTTAAATCTGTAGATTTTTTTTTTCAAATTTTACATAATCTGCATATTAGTCCTCTACCTGAGGGGTAAATGGCAAAAGTATTCTCTTCACTCTGTAGGGTAGTTTTCTTTGCTGTGTAGCTTTTAAATTTAATGTAATCCAATTTATTGATTCTTTATAGTATTTCCTCTGAAACCAGAGTTGTGGTTATAAAGTCTTTGCACACACACATGTCTTCAATAGTTCTACCTAATCTATCTTACAGCAGATTAAGTGTTTCTGTTTTAATGTGTAAATCATTGATCCATTTCAATTTTAGTTTGGTGTATAGTGAGAGGTATGGTCTACTTTCAATCTTCAGCATGTAGATAGCCAGCTTTCCCAGCACCACTTGTTAAATAGGCTATCTTTCCTCCAGCAGAGGTGTATGGCCCCTTTGTCAAAGATAAGGCATTTAAAAAACCGAAAACTAAGCTCCAGAAAGTTTAGGAGTATTCTACACGATACAGCAGCTACAGCAAAATCTTATTACAAGACTATACATGGGCCCTCACAAAAATCAATGGTATATTATGTGAGATAATATAATCACAAGGTTGCCCAAAGTTACAGTTACAAGACTTTCACAGGATTGGCTTGTCAGGAAATTTCATTAGACTTGCTTATATTACATTTTTATTGACTTGGCCTATAGGATGGTATTTTCATATATGGAGCCACAGCATTGCTACTAAATGACCAGTAGTATCAAAATTAGGAAACTTGATTCCTAACCCTACTTCTGGCACTGATTGGCTTTGGATATGCAGATATAAACTTAATTTATAAGATCAATGTGAAGGATTCTTTTTTGTTTACTATCTATCCTTAGTGCCTAGACCAGCACCTGGAATAAATATATAAAGAGTTCAATAAATATTTGCTAACTCAATAGGCACATGAATGACAGAAACTGAAGTCACACTGAAGAAACAGTACATTGTACCAAGATCTCTTGTCATAGCTCATGCTACAATTTAAAGATTGTTTCCATTAAAACTATCAACTCTTTCAGATCAATATCTTACCTTCTTTTAATTTCTTCTATAGCAAATATATATGAACAGTGACTGAAAAATTTGATGAAGTTTAAATTTTAAAAATTTAAAGAATCGTGTATTGCCGTCAATACCCCCTTGAAATCCTTCTATTCATGCAGAACACCTCTCACACTGTTTTGCAGTTTTGGAAGTCCTCTTTCAGGTATATCTTCACTAGCACTAGGATGGCTGACTCCAGTGTCTTTCATCGACTTAAAACATTGTCTTTCATGGTTATTTGGACTCTCTGAGAAAGCCAGAAGTCACATGGTGACAGAACCAGTATATAAGCTAGCTGAAGACTTTATGTCACACCTTATGATAAAGACACTCATAAAACAGGACTTCTAAAGCTGCTTCAAAAAGTGGTAAGGATGATGAGATAACTGTGTTCAAGATCAGTAGGGTGATCTTGAACACAGTTATCCTTCCCTGGGCTGAAAGATATTAATAGTAATGTGTCTTTTCTATAATAATTTTTAAAAATTTAAACACCTATCCATATATTTTTATCACCCTGCACTATAAGTACTAGATACAGAGAAAATGGTGTTAATGTTTACAGCTGAAATCTCAGGATCAACCACAAAAGTGGAGCAGCAGTTTGAAAAATATTCTACAGGGCAAAGTCGATGACATAAGGAAGACTTTTACAGATACTTAGCTTTAACCATGACATTTTAACATTAGAAAAAAAAACAGCAATATTAAGAAGCCTTATTTGCCTTCCATCCTTTGACAGAACTCTGATAACTTTTAAAGACAAACACTAACAGTCTCTTTTCAAATGACAAGCATCTAACTTTATTTTAGTGAAGATAAGCAATTTGAGGGTCTTAGTTAAATGGCTATTTAAAGGACACAGGTACTTGCCCTCTTCGCTGGACAATTGTCGGGAATGTGCTTCACAATTCGGTGGCAAGTAGCCATCAGTACAATTGCATTCATCGTTGGAATTGCATACCTAAGAACATTTGTAAAATTTTAAGTGGTTTTAAAAAATATTTGTGCATTGAAAGTCAGACTATGAAATAGGTTATGCCTACTTTTGTATCTAAAATTATTTTGATCATATTTGTGTGATTTTTTGAGATAATTCCCTAAAATGAATATTGGATTTCTTCAACCAAAACCCAAACACCAAAGAAAACATATAAAAGCACAAAAGAGCTATAAAGTGAGCTCACATTTGCATCAAGAAATATAATACCTTCAAAAGTTTCCACATTTCGTGTGTGATTGCAAAATCACATTCTACTTCGGTTGTCAAGTGTAGACAGCCCCTGCTGTGCTGGGTCTGACATAAGTAGCTCTAGGTCATCCAGCAGACTGAGTACATCTTTTCCTATCTCCAAGTGCAGGAAGGGCCTGCTGGTAGTTTGAACTATGCACACCTACAAACAAGTATCAACTTCTTCCCTGGGCTGCTTGTGAAACACTTGCAAGCATTAACGGGCCCTTCCCCAGGATAGTTTTGTTTTGTTTACAGTGACTGATTTGATTTTTAAGCAAAAACCTGTTCTTAATCCAAGAGGATCTCAGATTCCTAGATACAGTATAACTAGGAAGTCATGCTATCAGTAGAAATACATGAGAAATGCAAGAGTAATTAAATAACACCAAACATATTCTTTGTGCTTACCTTTTCTGAGTTTTTACTCTGAATAGTTTAAATAAATAGATTGACTCATTAAATCTACCAATGGCCCATTGAGGTGGAGTTATTATCCCTTCCTTACAAATGAAAAATGGAGGCACACTTACTTAAAATGCCAAAAGTCAAACACAATGTAATCATAGGAAATCCAGTTTCAGAGGCCTTGAACTTGACCACTATGCTATGTGTCGTCTCAAAATTATATGAAACATTTCATTTTTGGGATGTTACTCAGGCTGCAATCTTAGTGTAAGAATGTTAACCTTTTATGCTGAAACCCATAAATATTTTAAAACCTAATATTCCGCCCTGGATGATGTCAGTTTGTCCTAATATTACATCCTTACTTAAGATCACTTGGTCATGGTACTGTCTTCTGTTTTTTTTACTGTAAAGTTTCTAAGCTGCTACTTGTAATTAGGAAGTAATTTGTAAGGAGGTATTTTAAAGAAAAAGTACACCTCTCTTTCTAAAACTTTTGCCCATTAGTTTCAACATTCACTGATAATTACTGCTTCATTGCACTTGGTTATTGTGTAAGGAAGACATTTATTATTTTCCTTTTCATTTATGTAATTATTATCAATAGTATAATAAATGCTACTATGTATATCTTATCATACTTTTATGTATTGCATTTAATTATTCAGTTAATTATATATTGTATTTTATTCAAAGAACCTCTATTATTTTACCATATATCTGGACAGTGGAAGCCCTGATTTTAATTTTTAATTTATATTGTTTTACATTTTCACAAACAACAGTTGTAATAATTCATGAGGTACAAGCTGATGCTGAATCACATGATGTACTGCTCAAATGAGGCAATCAGAATTTCCCTTATTTTTTTATGACTAAAGCCTTCAAACTCCTCCGTTCTACTGTTTCATAAACGGTATTATAGGTTATTGTGAACTGTACTTCTTCCATGATGTTATGGAATACAAAGGTATATTTCTGCTATATAACTGCGTTTTTGGCTCCATTGTCCAAGCTACCTCTCCACTCTCTGCATCTGTTATTAATATTTTACACTCGGATGGACTGTCCCTACAGTGCCTGTGTGAAGCAGCTTGGGTGTGTGTCTAACGTCCTCTACTTCCATTCATTCTGCTGCACTTTTTCGGGCTGAAGGCTGCTGCCCTGTGCATTGTGCCACATTTTCTTTACTCATTCATCCATCATTTTTTATAATATGGACATTAACTGTGTCAGGTAATCCATGGAGTTTTTTTTATTTTTCTCTCTGTTTTTTGATATTTCTTCTGCAATGTCTCTCCTTATGTTTTAGAATTATCATTGTAGAGGTCTTTTCACATTCCTCATTAAATTTATCGCTAAGTACTTTTCATAGCTTATGAATGGAATTTCTTTAGTGATTTATTTCTCAGAAAGTAAATTTTAGTGTATAAAAACACTGATTTTTGTACACCGGTTTTGTGTCCTGCAACTTTACTAAATTTATATATTATTTCTGATAGTGTTCTGATATAGTCAATAGGTATTTCTACATAAAAAAAATCATACTATTTGTACATGGGACACTTATTAATGGTAGATTGATGACTGGTGCTGGGTGTAGAGAGTCCTCCTGAGGACTGTTGCCAATAGCAAAAACAGGAGAACTGAAGAGGAAGGTTTGACGCTATTGGTTTTCCTGATATAAAGTTGGCTGTTATCATCAGGGGAGCTCGGGACCTCACTGGCACTGAGGAGGGCTGCAGTACTTTTGAAGGGAGCTCTGGTCCTTACTTTGCACAGTGCAGATCCCTCAGCCTGCTGGCATAGACACTGCATCCTGCAACCCCATAGCTCCCACCACTGATCTTTTGGCCTTTCCAGCACAGATTCATAAAACAGACTTGTAAGAAACATCATTGGGGCACTAGGCCTGGCACTATTATGGGCTCTAGGTCTTCAGCTGGATTCACGCAGGACATTGCCCTAGGATCTGGGCCCTCGGCTGAATTCTTCAGGTCTCTAATATATGGACAGATTTCCTGCCCTCTTTTGTATTCCATTCTTTGGATAACTATTATAAAATAATCTTACAAATTCTATATTCTGTATTAACTCACTTCCCTTGTTAAGCCTGACTACAATACTTTTATTTTCCCCTTTCACATACTTATACTTTTTATTTCTTCCTCCTGCCTCATTTCTCTGGATAAAACTTCCAGTGCTATGTTGAATGAGTCATGAAATTAGACCTCCTTTTCTTTTACCAGCTCTTAGGGAATCCATGAAAGTAGAAGTTGAGTACTGAAATGCCTAAAAGTAAAATTTTTCCTCCGGAAAATGTTATAAAGAAAATGAGAAGAAAAACTATAGACTTCAAGAAATATTTACAGAAGACATATTCATTTGTATTACTATTGTTAAAACAAAAACTCTTAAAACTCTACAATACGAAAAAAAGCAACCCAATTTAAAAATAGGCAAAGATATGAAGAAACCCTTCACCAGAAAAGTTACAGAGTGCAAAGATGGAAAGATGCTCTATGAGACCACGTGTCACCAGGAAACATAAATTACAATAATAAGATACTATCCCACAACTATTGGAAAGGTCAAAACACAAAACACTGACACAAAAGCCTGGCTAGAGGTGGAACAAGAGTGACTCACATTCACTTCTTCTGGGATTACGAGATGATGGTCACTTGGCAAGATGTTTTGGCAGTTTCTTACAAAATGAAGCATATTCTCACTTACGATCTGAGTGCAACCCTTGGCATTTATCAGAAAGAGTTGAAAACTCGAGTCCTTTACATAAACACACCTGCACAAGAATGTGTATGGAAGTTTTATTTATAATTGCTAAGACCTGGAAACAACCATGATGCTTTTCAGTAGGTAAATGGATGTATGAGTATATCAGACAATTGAATATTATTTTATCATTAAAAAGAAAATAGATCTCAAAATACACAAAGATATGGAGGAACTTTAAATGCATATTACTAAGCAAAATAAGCTATCCAGATGGTCTATATTCTGTGTGATTCCAATAATATGGTATTGTAGAAAAGAAAAACCTATGAAGATTGAAAAACCTATTTATCAGGGGTTAAGGATCACCAAAAGATGAAAAGGCCAATTTTGGAAGATTCTTAGAGCAGTGAAAATACTCTGATATAGTATTGATAAAAGTGTCATATATGTCTCAAAATCCACAGAATGTACAACCTTAAGACAGAACCCTAATGTACTAGATGGGCATGGGGTGATGAACAGCCTGTGAAAATCTGTCCTTGTAACAACTGCACCATTCCAGAGACACGTGCTGGCAATGAAGACAGCTGTGTGTGTTTGAGGCAGGAGGTATATGGGAAATATTTCTGTCTTACTCTCAATTTCGCTGTGAACCTATAACTTTTCTTAAAAGAACTTTATTAAAAATGTTACTAAGCCATAAAAAGAACTGGAAGAAATTTGCATGTGTATCACTAAGTGAAAGAAGTCTTACTAGAAAAATATACATAATTGATAATACTAATAGCATGTTTGGATTGGGGGTTGGAGACTTCCTTTTGTTTCTTCCTCTTGTTGTGTTTCTGGTTTCTTCCAGATAAGTGGATAAGCGGGGTTCCTGGCACTTCCTGTACTGGCCACAATTACCCTGAAGCATGCTGGCTAGGAATTGCTGCCCTCTCCAGTCTGCTGATGACCACTGAGGAACAAGCAGAGGCAGGGCAGGCTGGCCCCTTCCGAGCTGGTCAAGCACTGGGAGTCTTCAGCATGTTAGTGTGTACTGCGCGGGCAGACTGGTAAGGTATAGCATCAGAGAGACCTGGTCCTGGGCTATTGGATTGCACACAGAGGTAGGACGCAGTCCAGGCAATTCTCATCAATCTGCTCTGCACTAGAACAGCTGACTGAAGCTGCCGCAGTTCGGGTTCCGAGTTTATCTTGCCTGCCTCCAAAATGTCGCCAGCCAGTTGCCCACTCCTGCGGGAGGACTGATTTCCCTGCACTCACTGTGAGCCAGTTCAGATCTCCGAGCTGAGTGCTGTTCTCCATTCTGCAGCTACCCTCCACGACTGCCTTCTCCCGCCAAAGCCCTCAGGTTCACCAACCCCCTACTTCACCATGACCACATGTCTTTGGATTCCAGTGGCTTTTCCTACACAACGGGATCGGTTCTGGTGAGAGCACGTGGTCTTCTGTCCACGATTTTCTTTTCCCCTTTAGTTTCTTCCTGGGTCAAGAGGACCTATCTCCTTCCGTCTGGTCTTCTCTACGATGTTTTTTTCAAGCATTTGAGCTGTTTCTCTCAGAGAGCTCTTTATTTTTCTGCTTGGTGATACTGGCCCAGGAGAGGAAAACATAGAAGAGGTCAGGGATTACATACCTGAGGTGCCTGAGAAAGCAGCATTGGACAAAATGAATTACCTTGGTGACATTATAAAAAACTAAAAACAGAAAGTATAATACAAGTAAAGGAAAATACAAGAAAAACAATAAAAGAAATGCTAAGTACCTCTCAAGAAGACATAGATAGAAGCATGGAGGAACATAGAAAAAGGAAAGAAAGCTTCGATGAAGAATATAAAAAATATCTAGAATACATGAAACGGATTCAAAGAGACTACCAGGAAATTAAAAGCTCTATTGAAAGCTGGCAAAACTGCTTGAAGAAACTAAAGATAGACTTTCAAACCTTGAAGACAGGTTTGCAATGTGTGATTGCAAAAGGAAAGATGGAAGTAACAATACAAAGGCTAGAAGATGACAAAAGGATATATAATTCAATAAAAAAGTGAATCAAGAAGCAGGGATAAACACAAATGAAATACAAAGGCTATTTACAGAAATAATTAAAGAAGATTCCCCAAGCATAGGAAAAGGAATGATATCCAGGTATGTGAGGCATACAGAACTCCAGCCAGCTATAACCAAAATAGATCTACACCCAGACATATAATAGTCAAGATCTCAGAAATCCAACACAAGAACAGAAAATTAAAAGCTGTAAGAAAAAAGAAACATCACCTATAAAGGAAAACCCATGAGAATCATGACGGACTTCTCGACAAACCATCAAATCAAGAAAAGCTTGGAGTGAAGTAATCCAAGCCCTGAAAGAAAATAACCTCCAACCCAAATTGTATACTCTGCAAAACTCTCTCTCAAAATTAATGGAGAAACAAGATGCTTCCACGACAAAGAACTGGGGGAGTTCGTGACCACCAATGAAACCCTACTAAAAATACTGAAGGACATTCTAGAGAGAGAGAAAAAAAAGACCATGGTTTCAAGAACAGCGACAGAGGAGGCTTATTTAATGGGGCAGACAGTGGAATGAAGGAGAAAAGTAGGCAACCAATGGCAGAAAAATAGCATGACAGAGATGAAGCAGAGAAGATTGGCCATAATTGCTAACATGGATGGCCTCGATACACTAATAAAAAGAAACACCGGCAGAGTAGATCAGGAGGGTCCATCAAGATGCTCTATAAAAGAAATGTATTTAAACTGAAAGAGGGTTTATATACTGAAAGTCAAAGGTGAGAAAATCATGCTCTGTACGACAGGGAACCAGAATAAAGTGGGGGTAGCTCACACATCAGCTGCAGATTGGTTGGAAAGACATAATATTTTTATACAATGGAGAACTACCCAGCTATAAGGAAGGAAGACCTTGAGGCTCTTGTAAGTAAATGGATACAACCTGAGACCAAGCTCAGGTAAAAAGGTTCAGAACCACTTAAGTGCAGGTTGCCTCCCTAATCTAAAGGAGTTAGTGGGATACAAATGTGCAGTGCCCCCTGGGAAAGTGAAAGAGGAGGAACTGTCTAAACAGGGAAGGCAGAGGACAATGATAATCTTATATCATGATTTGAAACCCATATTGCTTTCATCACTCTATTTAGTTTGCTTATATTCTGTTCCAGTTTTGTCTATTTGTACTAAATTTGAGAGCATAGACAACTATTCCAAAGACAACAGGATATACTATGGTAAACATTTTAAATCTACTATTAACTTAATCTGAAACCCTGTATTGCTTTCACTGCCTTGTTTTGACTAATGTTATTTGAATCTGTCTTGTTCGATCACTGTCTTGTCTTGACTGATTTTATTCACATCTGCTATGTTTGACAGTTTCAAGTCAGAGTATAGGCAACTACTCTGAAGACAGTAAGATTCACTATGATACTCATTCTGGTTTGACTATTAATCTCTTTTTAAGTCCTATAATGGCTCCAATGTTTTGTTTTTACTACTAAGTTCAATTTTATTGTGCCTGATGATATGGGCAATCCTATTGAAGATAATAAGAGTTATCACGGTAACCATTATAGATCACCTTGTATTGTGGTTTTAAATTATGTACTATGTCCATTCTTTTGTTTTGAATGATCTCAGTTTTTTAAATTTAGTTTTATTCTTTTCAAAATAAAAATTTAAAAATACTAATAGCATGAAAAATATGGAGAGAATAAAAAGATCAGCTCTTGTCAAGAGTTAAAGGGAAATACGAAGAGATGGGGCATAGAACATTTTTAGAGCAGTTTAAACACTTTACAAGATAATAGTGAATGCATGACATCATACATCGATCAAAAACACATTCTTTGTCAAAACCAAGACTGAACTCTTATGAAAGCTAACTGGATGGTGATATGTGAATCTACATCATCAGTTGCAAAAACTGTCACTCTGGTACAAGAGATTGAAATTGGAGTAAGCTGTGTATAACTGATGTGAAGGAAGTCTATGCAAAATCTATGTGCTTTCGCTCAATTTTGCTGTGAATATGAATATGAAGCTCTAAAAAACAAAGAATATTTTTAAAAAGACAGACAAAATAAAGTTTTTCATGATTTCCTATATTCACAAAGGCAGGAAATTATCTTCCCGTTGTGAACAATTTTAGACTTTTTAAAAAGTGTACAGTTATAACACTTTTTTGATGGCATCAGCATTTCAATTCAACACAAAGTATTGAGCCGCTGAATTTGGTTACTCAGTTCAGCTCTGCATAGAAGCTAGATGCAACAGGGCCTTGCACAGACTAGTATTGATAAATTAACAAGTGAGGCTAAAAAGCATCTAAGAGAGATGTGTTTATACTTACCCCATGTCCATGGCATTGCGCTGTACACCTAATTGAGTCAGACCTCACATGTCCTGATTCTACACATACACCATTTACACAAAACTAAAGAAAAACACAGACGAAAACATTTTCAATACGCAAAGATCCAGCCACCAATACATTACTATTAGTAATTCTATAAAATACAATCCTAACTATTCACATGCTGTAAATATATTTCTAAGTACCATGTTTGCAAGACTCTTGATAATGTCAATGTTATAGTTTCATGTTCGTTTAGTTTTAATTATTTTAAAATTTCTTTCAGGATGTTTAGATGTGTGTTGGTTAATTTTGTGTGGACATTTTTCCTGGTGATGGTAATGTACACCGTGGACTTAGGGTGACAGAGACATGTCGATATATATTTGTCAGTTGTAACAGGCACAGCTCTTGTGTGGAGAGTGATGATGGAGCAAGAGGAAGGTAACTATTTTTTGCTGGAAACTTAAACTTGTATTACAAATATCAAGTACATCATTTCAGTGAATAATTTTTAGCATGATTCATGGCAAGGAAATGGACAATTTTCATGAAAATGAGATTGACCATAACAAAAATATTATAACCAAATAACTAATTTTTATTAAAATATCATGAAATCTTTAAAAAAAAACAAGTGTTTTTCAGCAGAGGTGAAAGAATAGCCAGTACTTACTATCAAAATTTTCATAGAAAAAAATAAGATTCATATGGCATATATTCAGTTTTCATGGAGCAATTATTATTCATGCCTCAAGTTATTAATAAGATAAAATAAGTGCTATGATTAAAATGTAATAGAGATGTATATTATTCTATTATGGAATGAAATAAAAATCATAAGCAATTCTTAGACATTAAATTATAATAGTCAAACTAAAGATATATTCCCAACTTTAGCATTTATAGAAATATCAACTTCCCTAAATTGTAATTTAGTGGTGTATCTAACATCTCCTTTAGAAATGTAGGCCTGGTTGGATTGATTCATGTGAAACTGAATCAGAGATGTAAATTAAGGAATCAAAATTGCCAAAAACTTTCATCAAGTATAATTTATAGTATCATTGAAAATTATATGGTAAAATTTATTTACACATGTTATCTCTGAGAACTTTGCATGGTTAAAAGACTCTGTCCTTAAACAATCTTAGTGGATTGGTACCTAGTAGTCAACTTAAACACCAGCTGAATTGAATTAGCGTGGTGAGTGTGGAGAGACCACCTGAGGAAAGTTGCCAGCATAAAAACGGGATTTGGAGAGGAAGAGCAGCATTGTGGGTTCACTTAAGTATTGCTGTTGTTTGGAACCGTTGGTTCTCCTGGAAGAGCTTGTCACGCTGGCTTACTGATATAAATGTGGCTGGTATCTTTGGAGGAGCTTGGGACCTTGTTGCTCCGAGTAGCTGTTGTTCACTTTGGAGGAGCATTGGTCCTTACTTTGAGCATCACTTTCTGGCTCTGGAGGGAAAGATGTGAGCTGTTTGATCACCAGGAGAAGCTTGTCATGCTGGCTTTATGATATGAACTCGGCTGTTATCACTGGAGAAGCTTGGGACATCACTGTCACTAAGGATGGCTGTGGTACTTTTCAGGGCATCCCTGGTCTTTATTTTGAGCATCGCTTCTTGGCTCTACTGCAGAATCTTTAATTTACTGGCACTGATCCTTCACCTCTCTGGCATAGATTTTCTAGCTTCCACCGCTGACCTTTGGGCCTTCCCACTGCAAAACTATGGAATAGACTTGCATGGGTCATTGTCGTGGGCTCCAGGTGTTTAGCTGAACTCATGCGAGTTACTGCCATGGATCCAGGCCCTCAGCCAGATTTTCTAGGTCTTTAGTGTTATGGATAGATTTCCTGAACTTTGTATTTCATTCCTTGGGTAACCATTATAAATAATACTATAGATTATGTGTCCTGTATGTAATGGTTCTCTTTGCAACTCTGGACTACAACCCCATCTGTTTACTTATGTCATTTTTATTATGTTTTGGGTGCATGGCTTTAATAGCTCTACTAAGCTCTTTGTCGTACAGCTCTAATCAAGAAGGCATTTATGACTTCTAAGTCTAAAGCCTAGTTTTATACTTTATTTAAATTATAGAACCATTAAGAGTAGCTATTAATATACATACATTTTACTTTCTATGATATTAAGGCTTCAAGATATTTAATAATTATAATAATAATAGCAATTATTACTGCTATTTGCACAAGGGCACTTATGGAATGAAAGAGTAAGAATGCAAATCTATGTGCATCAACATTTATAGCTGATGCAAAGGTACAGTCAAGAATGGAGTACACTTATCTAAGCTGTGCCCTATCCCAAAGGGCCACCAAGACATACATGAAACTGTGATGTGTCAACTTGGTTGGAATAAAAAAACACCTAGCAGCTTAGGAAAGCTCAGTTCTGGGTACGTCTATGGATAACTGAAACAGGCCAGCAAAATGAGGCAGGAAGACCCACTGCAGTTGTGGGTGGTAACAACCATAGGCTTATAGTCTGGAGAGAATAAAAAACGGAAATAAGAAGGGAGTGCTGCTTTTGAAGAGTTCTGTCTTCTGCAGATGTGTCCTTTGCTGCCACTGCCTTCAGAGGTCAGTCCCCAGGTCTCCAGTGTCTTCAGGCTTTTCCAGCCCTTCAGGCTAGACTGGTTGTGTTCTTGATCCCTTTGTTCTGTGGCTTCCACATTCCTGGGTTGATCATTTTTTTTTTTTTTTTTTTTTTTTTTTTTTTTTACGATCATTTTGTCCTTAGGCTGATCATCTAGCTCTCCAGCATGCAGATGATCACTGCGGATTCCCCTGATCCTTAAAACTACTTAGGAAATCTGCTCACACAATTAGACATATATTTTATACTGATTATATTCCTTTAGAGCACTCTAACTCACAGAATCTACTGACAAGAGGGATACCTTCTTTTGTCTTTGTAGAAAAGCATGTTTACATGCTATAAATTGCTTAACTATAGTGTATTCCCAAGAGCTCTGTCTTCCCCACTCCAGCTGAATATACTTGGGAGGATTCTTGTCTACAACACTGAAGTTCTAAAGCAAATACAACAACTCCATTTCCCTTTGCTATCCAGAAAGTTACACAGAAATTATAGCAAATTAAAAATTGATATTAAAATATTGATTAAAGTAATGAATAAGACTACTTTTTAGAAGTATTTTAAAGCATTTACCCTGCCATTATCACATATAGCACCACTTTTCACCACATATGGATCTTGGGCTCTAGGTAATGAAGAATTCCACAGACTGATACATACTTTATTTCGTACATAAGCATAAATCACAGAAATGCCTGGCTTAATATAAGGAGTTTGAAATGGATAAGTACAAGTTAATCTTGCACAAAAGAGGTTCCTGAAAACAATAAAATGATAAGATTATTATACATTAGTTGCTTATGAATAATGCCTTTATTTTCTTACTTTGACAAAATGTAAAAGTCCCTCCATTTATGACAATGTACTTAGGGAACCTGTGAAGTGCTGACACTGACATTTTTAAAAACCCACTGATCTAAATTTACCTTTCAGTGGTACTAACAGTTTTCTATTCACCACATATATTTTATATTTACTTTCAAATAATAAATTTGCTCCAATATTTTACATCTCCTATAGAACAGAATAATGAGTAAGATATTACATCTATTGTCCAAGACCTCATAATCTAGCATCAAATGTGATATAAATTCCATTAAACATGCTACAAACATGCTACAAAATCCTTACAGAAATGTAAGACAGGCATACATTCTAACCTAACAGTTTTGGAAAACTTCATACTCTGAGTCACAAGTCAGTAAATTTTCAAGAATTAGATACTTCTTAACAAATTGAGGAAACCAAAAGTTACATCGTATGTTTACCAATAATACAAATTCTAGAGTATATGTTTGACTAACCACTACTGATTCCACTATGTGGCACATAGTAGGTTCCTAACAGAAACTTGTAACAAAATGTTGCTCTTGAAATGCAAAAGAAATTGAGCTTATTTCAAAGACATTTGTGAGTGCTGTTTGGAAGAGCAAACGTGGATGGGAATATTCCATCATCAAAAAGCAAAAATCAAACATTTCATTTTTTTTAACTGAGAAAAGTATCTACTTTTATATAATTTACACCCAACTTTTCATGTTCTAATAGAAACAGTGAAATATTTTACTCCTTGATATTTAACAATAATAAGATTAACCCCGAAGACAGGTACTACAACCATATAATACATTCTGTCATCAGTATGATGGTCTTACTGTCTTAATATATTATGTTCACACATTAGGTCCTATTTTTAACTTACAAACAGATGGATATGAGTTTTTGTTAAGCATACTGTTATTCTAAGCATAGTAAATAATGTGTCTTAAAAAGATCAAATAGCATTTATGATACAGGAAGTATTGTTATCTCTAGTGTGAATGTAATGGTGATACAAAGAATCATTTATCTTGTCATTATGATAATAAAATGATTAACAATTATGAGAATAAAGCAAAAATTAGTAAGATTGGAGAGACAAAGTACAGTGGGTATGAAAGTTTGATTTTGCTATTAGATTTGAAAACTTAATGATCACCTACATATAAAAATGTTTCTAAAATAGATAGAATTTTATGACACAAGGAAAATGACAAGGACTCAAAGAATTTTTGTTTGAGATTCTCTCCCATACACATGTGATACCTGAAATGACTAAAACTAAGGACATACACTAAAGAGAAACAAAACATCAAACTGAGATTTGAAAACGTCATTAATAATGTGTATAACACACCTCCAACCACAGCTTTTATATCGGTTCCGATCCATACCACAATTCCCAAACATATCTATTTGAGAATGGATTTCTTCATAGCAGGGAAATGGAGCATTTTTTGAACCTGTGGAAGTTAGAAATATATTTCAATCAAAACCCATATTCCTCCTTGACTTTCCTCCATGCTGCATATATTATGTTTTATCTCTTTCTCCATTATTTCCTCATGAGATTGGAAAAAAAGAAAAAGGAAACTGAAAGTTATTAATGTTTGCAGTTGTTATCGACAGATAATCTTATTTCAGTTTATGGAACCGTCAGTCAACAAGGCATTCATACAAATCTTAGAAATCATCCTTGATTTGTCACTTATCGCTCACCACTTGCCTCCATCAGCTGCACCAAGTCTTACTGACAGTAAACAGCCTAAATGAGCCAGAGCATCTGCCTGCCTCTATAACCAACATTCTGCCATATTATGTCATGCTACTTTCCAACTGAATTCCTGCTTATAATCTGCACTCCTCATAATTCTCCAAACCGTAAATCTCAGTGGTCAATTTAATAAACAATACAAAAAATAAAAACCAGGTCTCAGTATTACCTACATCTCTCTACTGGTGCACCATCACACTAACAGTACAATCCAGTTTTTACCACGTTGTTTCCTCAGGCTGACCCACTAGCCCACCGTACTTCAGCCATACTACCCTGTATCCTAGGACACACCAAATTCACCCTATCAGAATATTACCTGTATTTCTCTTCCTGATATGCTTTTTCCCAAATCAATCATTGAGTATCTCCTTCTGAGTGTGCAGTTTTCTTCTGAAATTTCTCTTTGAGAGGGAAACATCTCTGAATGTAGTATCTAAAGCAGCCTCACTGTGCTGGAATTCTAACTGATGGAAAATTGGTAATACTAGCTGAACTGAATCATGGTGTTGAGCATGGGTAACATAAGGATTGTTGCCAACATAAAAGGAGAAATCAGGGAGGAAGCAGTGGAGCTGTTGGTTCTCCTGCTGCCACTGATTCTCCTGGAAGAGCCTGTCAAGCATCTTTCCTGATATGAAGTTGGCTGTTATCATCAGAGGCGCTCAGGACCTTGTTGAGAATGGCTGAGGTTCACTTTGGGGGAGCTCTGGTGCTTACTTTGAGCATCAGTTCCTGCGTCTGGGTGGGGGGATATATGCCGTTCAATCTGCAGGAGAAACTTGTCACACTGACATCCTTATATGAACTCAGCTGTTCTCATTGTATGAGGAGCTCCGGACCTTGTTGTCACTGAGGGTGGCTGGGGTACTTTTGGGGGGCAGTTCTAGTCCTTGAGTGTCACTTCTTGGCTCCAATGCAGAACCCTCAGCCTGCTGGCACAGATCCTTCATCCTACTGGCACAGACTTTCTAGCTTCCAACACTGACCTTCAGGCCTTCCCAGCACAGATCCATGAAAGCAGACTTGCGTGAGTCATTGTTGTGGATTCCAGGCCTCCAGGCGGACTCATAGTGGGCACTGTCATAGAACCCAGGCCCTCAGCTGGATTTTTTGGGTGTCAGTGTGGACAGATTTCCTTCACTCTTTCTTTTGTATTTGACTCTTGGAGTGACCATCATGTTATACTATAATACTGTATATTATGTGTCCTATATTGTCTTGCCCTCCTTGTAAATCCTGACTACACACATTCATGAGGATTCTGTCTTATCACCCTGTTCCTTTTTCTATTAGCTTTTACTTTTTTTTTTTTTTTTTGCCTTGTTTTGATTGGTTCGGTTGCTATCACGACATTCCTCACTGAAATATTTTAGTGACTAATGAGTCATTTATCATTATAAGTCATTTAGACTAACGACTCATTCTTTTTTTGTCTGCTCCTTTCACTAGGATATAACTCCACGGGAATACTGATCTTTTTTGTTGTTGTCTATCAGTGTATTTCAGGTGCAGGCAAAATGCTTCACGGATTGAGGGTGCTAAAAAAGTGTTTATGGAATTTTAAAAAATACAGTACTCTAAATAGCCATACCCTACGATACATCCTATTTTTTTTTTTTTTAATCGGTACCGGGGATCGAACTCACAACCATGAGCTTGCAAAGCAGGCGCTTATGCCGCTGAGCTAAATCCCCAGCCCTTTATTTTCTTTCCGTCTTATTTATGTTTTCTTTTTTATTTTTAATTTCCATTTTAATTTCATTAGTCCACTGGTTGTTCAGGAGCATGTAGTAAAACTTCCACAAATTTTAGAATTTTCTGAGATTCCACTTAATACTGATTTTCAGTTCCATAGCCCTGTCGTCAGAGAAGACTCTGTGATTTCAGTGCTCTGAACTGTGCTGGTCTTTATTATGGCCTAACGCAGCAGTTCTCCTGAAACAGGTTTTGTATGCTTGAGAATACATATTCTGTTAGTGTTGGAGGGAATGTTTCGTACATGTCTGTGAGGCCTATTTGGTTGGAAATGGAGTTCAACTCCTGTAATTCCTTATTGATTTCCTGTCATGATAATCTGTGTGTTACTGAAAGTGGTGGATGAAAATTCCTATTATTAAGGAGCACTCTTTTTTCTTGCCATATCTACTTATATTTGCTCCATAAATTTCAGTGTTCTGATGTTGAGCATACATTTAATTACAATTGTCAGATCCTGATGAGTTTGCCCTTCCCTACATCATGGGATGTCTTTGCCATCCATTTACTTTCAATACCTGTGCACCCTTAGGGCTGATGTGAACTCTCATATGCAGCTCAGACATCGGCCTTGCTCACAGTTAGAAGTGTGACTACACAAGACGCCATAAAGACTCCAGATGAAGGAAGCAGATTGGTTTTCTGAGATGGTGGCTTAAAGGGTCACAAAGTGGGTACTCTTGGAGTGCAGCAGAGCTGGAAATTACGGCTTGGAGCAACAAGAAACTCTGTGTCCCAGAGCAGCATTAATCTTTTGCTCTATTAGTTCCAGAGTTTGAGAGGCAGACAATATGCACGCAGTGCTGGCACCAAAAACACAAGCAAATTCCTATTTTTAAATTTTTGAGGAAGTGCTTAGGGACCTGGAGCACGCAGTGTGGGTGTGGAAGGGAGCTATGATGCCAGAGCCTGCTGTCCATACAAGGCAGGAGGGTGGAACCTCCAGAGCCAGAGTAGTTTACCAGTATAGTTAAACCACGGCCATCTGCAGAGTAGGGTGGGTGTACTGACACATCTACTCAAGGGGGATAGGAGGAAGTAGCTGCGGCAAAAAGATCTGTGGTCTTCACAGAGCAATGCAATGGAGGTCACAAAGGGACCTGCTAAGTGGCTGGTCCTGAAAATCACTTCTCTTCTTCATTCGTAACCACCCTTAGAGATCTCAGGTATTCTCTGCAGCAATGTTATCTGTGTAATTATTGTCTTCTTTTGCTCTGTTGTACTATCTCAGATTCTTAAATATTTCCTTGAGCTCGGCTAACATTACAGTTTTTTCATTCCTACATAGCTGATGATTTGATTTGTCATAGGTGAAAGTACGAAGGCTTGTATCTTCTTAAAAGTCAACACAGTGAAGGAAACAATCAAGAGAGTAAAAATCCAACTAGGAAACATTTAGACTGGCTTCTAATGGATTATTTTCCAGTAGTATAAGGAACTCATGCAACTCAATAACTGTAGCAACAAGAGTTAACAACAATTATAACAACTTAATTAAAAAATATGAAGAGGATGAATATAAATTTCCCTAAAAAAGAGTTGCAGAGTATCAACAGGCCTTTTTAAAATTGCTCAACATTACTAATCACTAATACTAAAAAACATCACAATGAGATCTGACCTCATAGCACTGGAATTATTATTAACAAAAGATAGAAGTTAACCAATATTGGTGAGTCTTGTGCATTGCTATTAGTGGAAAAATACAAATTGGTGTAGATTTTATGGAAAACACAATGAAGCTTCCTCATGAAATTAAAAATAGAACTATATTATGATTCAGAATCCCAACTCTGGGCAAACATTCAAGGAAATGAGATCATTATCTCATATATATATATATATATATATATATATATATATATATACAGAGAGAAACTATATTTAATAGCTAAGATTTGAAAACAAACTGAATGTTCACTAGCAGGATAATAAATAAAAATGTGATACTGATGATACATAAAGATACATGCACAAAAAAATTACCTCACTAGAAAAAGAAATTCAGAATTTCATGGAAACATGGATGGATGAACCTGGAAGATACTGTGCTAAACAAAATGAGCCAGGCTTAGAAAGATAAACACTACATGATCTCACATATATGTAGTGTAAAATCCCCACATTCATGGAAGCAGAGAGAATGGTGGTTGTCAGAAGATGGGAAAAGGGAAGAACAGGTATATGTTGGTCAAGAGATACAGAGCATCAGGTATGCACAATGACTTCAGGAGACGTAAAGTACAGCAATATGACAAAATAATAAATAATACTGTATTGCCTTCTTGAAATTTGCTAAGAAAGCAGCCTTAAGATATTTTAAAAGCAAACAGAAAGAAAATGGTAACTATGTGAAATGATACTTTAATTAGATTGATTACAGTGAATATCTCACAATGCATCATATATCAAAACATCAAGGCATATATATCTAAAGACATGATATTTCTATTTGTCAATTATGTCAATAAGTATGAAAAAATTAATGCAAATGTTACACAAAGGTGAACATATTTCATCTTTTTCTGACGAGATTAGAAATATAAAAGGCCAACTATTTTGCGTAACAAAGAAATTACCTTTTCCAAAATAGCTCTCACAACGTCTATCAAGATCATGGCAGTCTCCATTGTAACAAAAATATGTATTATTTTTGCAAAGATGTCCATTTTTCACAAATATATCAGGCACACAGTGTTCTGAACTTCCATTACAGTACTCAGCAATGTCACACTCAGGATGCTGGATGGGTCTGCAGAGAGTGCCTGCTTGTAAAAACTAACAAATTGAAGTAAATCATTATGCATAATATTTATATTTGTCAATATTTATTTCAAAATTATGACAATTATTTATACTTTTGGTTCATAAATATCTGTCAATACTTTTTTATAAATCATTAAAAACTAAAATTGTTATCAATTAAAATAGGAGATAATATTATGTGAGAAAAAGGAGAATAAAAACCTGATGTGAGGATAGCTAGTTTTATTTGTGTCTCTAAGATAAGAGAGAAAAATTATTACTTTTGGGTGAAAATATTTATTTAGGTCAATTTCCCAGTAAAATATACACACATTAACTGCAATTTTTGCATTGTTATGGTTTGGTTAGATGTTTTAAGTTTTTGTAGTACTGAGGATTGAACCCAGGGCCTTCTCTCCTCAAAGCTTTCTGCAATTGTCAGAAATCCCTCAGGCTAACCTCTAATTTGTGATCTGATCCTATGGCCTTGGAGGGCCAAAATTCTGAGATTACAGATCTGTATCACCATGCCCAACCTCAAACTACTACCTTCTCAAAGTACTTACAAATGTAAGTATGGAATACTTAAAATTGTATGAGAAATATCAAACAACGATGAATGGAGGGAAAAAACTGAACAGAGCTAATGCAACTCTGGATTTATTTGAAAGAACCCTAATATATTTTTTCTGATTTACATTACACTTCATTAATTTTTTCTTTATTTTTTCATTTATGTAAGAATCTAAAATGAGCATCTAGGTCATAATTTATCATTTATTATTTCAAGTGGATGTAAAGTTTACAGAGGTTAAAGTGCAACGTATGAGAAGATTGTTTAAAAAACATGAGACTGTCACTCAACGATAGTCAGTAATACAAGGCCTACTGTTGGTAGTTAGACAGAGATATTCCTATGGAGGGTACCTGATATAAACACAGTATGTTAGAAAATGAAAAGCAAAACAAAACAACAGTGAATATTTCCAGCAGATAAACTAAAATATGATTGTTCTGCCAAACAATCTCTGAATAACAAGTTCAGTTTAAACTTTTTGGTACTTGGACTATTTAGAAAATATTACTTTAGTGAGATTTACTTTTCATGCTTCTATGGAAAATTGCTGTGTCTTTCAACTGCCTAGGTACAGCTACTTATAACCACTATTGATGTGTTCATGTATGAAAGTATAACCACTGGAGAGAATGAGTATTGAACAGGAACACCGAAGAGAAACACTAATTGCCCTTTTCACTGGAGATTTTCTGTATTGAGGAGCTCTACAATCAAGGCTCAACTCTCAATCAAGCATTAAAAACTACAGCATTAAATCAGTGAGAATGGGGGCATTAGACGAGGCCGCAACACCCAAGTTCATAAGATCAGAAATCTACCTCTGAATTTATCTTTTTCCGTATTTAAAACATCATTTACTCTGACTTGAACCTGTACTTCTAAGTGTTCTCATTCAGTCTATACATGATTCAGTATATACTTTTTAATGTTAATAAATATGAATCTTACTTGACACTGACTGCAGCATGGTCCCTTATCACACTGTGACTGATCCTTCAGTGTACATGATGTATGATTACAACAGGCCTCAGGTCCACATTGCTATAAACAAATGGGAAGTACAAGGAAAACTTCATCATGACCACAGCAAAATTTTCAAAGGAGTTCTACTTACTGGGTTTAGTCTTTGATTTCTGAAACTGGATGTAAATGTTCCTGACACACACTTTAACAACTCTAAACATTCAGAGCAGAGTAACTGATATTCCACGTATCTTCCTATCTACTGAGATATCTGGGAAAATACATGAAGGTGTTTTGTTTTGTTCTGTTTTTGTTTTGTTTTAAATTGGATAGCGGCCAAATAGAATTATGATTAATTAGAGAAGTGAAACAAATGAACCAAGCTCTGAGTGTGCAGCTTTCTACCAGAAGGCATTTTTTCAAGCAAGCTGCGATGACCTCAGACAGAGATGAGCCATAGAAGCTGCTGCATTTGCAGGCCAGGTTACTGCTGTATATCGTGCTACGTAGTGAACGAGGGTTAGGAGTTTACACAGCAGTCATCAGTACATGGACTTAAAATTATACTACACTCTAATGAAGAACTTAGGTGACCTTGAAGAAACAGTAACAAAAACATTCAAACAGAAAAGAGAGGAAAGGAAAAATTCAGAGCCCCCATAAACTATGGGACAATATCACACCACCTAAAATGTATGAAATTTGAGTTCAAAAATATACTATATATCCAAGAAATGTACCTAATTACAAAAAGGAACACTAATAGAGAAAAATATGTATACTTCACAGTCACCTGGTAAAAACCAAAAAAAGTAACAGGAATATGTTGAAAATATCCTGAAAAATAAATTCCTTCATGTACAAGAAGGTAACAATTACTAGTGATTTTTAATCAAAAATAAAATAGGAAAACTACAGAATATTTGCTTTAAAGAACCAAAAGAAAACAAGTTTTTCTGTATATCATTTACAATCAGTAAATATACTTTTTAAATATGAATATTAAATAAACACATTTTCATAAAAATAAACATGAAATAATTTGTCATTTAATCTGCATCACAGAAATTTCTAAATGAGTTTCTGCACCCTAAACCAAAATGACTCGAAGCAGAAACTCAAGCTGAGTGTGGTGGTGGATCCATGTAGTTTCCACACTCAGAAAGCTGAGGCTGGAGGACTGGTACAGGTTCAAGGCCACTCTGGGTAACACCATCATCTCAAAGTTAGTCTGAACTACAAAGTGAGACCCTGCTTCCCCAAAAAAGTAGAAAATCGAATCTTTAAAAATGAATGGAGTATTTTAATGAAGAAATGAGAATATTTTTCCTTTTAGAAATTTCCTTAAAATGAAATGGACTATATAAAGTAAAAAATAATGCTAATATATTAATGAGGTTAATAATATACAGAGAAGTGTATGGTAAGAATACCATGATAAATGGAAAAGAGGAAATGATAAGTTAAATATATATATAATAAACTTTTAATAAACCACTAAAATATAGGAATTAGTAAGAAATAAACAGATGTTAGTAACAATACAATTAGGGAGATACAACAATATCAAAATGTATTAAAAAAGAGAACACAAGAGAAAAATTTGGATAAAACAAAAAAGATAAGAAGTAAATCATATTTGCTACATTAAAAAAAAAACAGACCAAACCCAGAAATGCATGTAGAGATTATCAATTTGGATAAAAATGTAAGACCCAATCATGTACTATCTACAAGGAATCTACATAAAGACAGTCAATAGCTAAAAGTAGAAAAGATTTTTTTTTTAAAAAGGTGTGTAGATCTTAATCATAAAAATCTGGAGTAATTATATTAATTTCAGGCAGCATAAAGAATCCAGGTAAATAATATTTACCAACAGCAAATGAGACTTTATGATGAGTTGATTCATCAAGGAGACAAATTCCTAATAATATATGAACTAAGGAAGAGTGCTTCAAAGCCTAGTGTAAAAATGTCAGATTGAAATAAGAATTTTAAAAAAGAGAATAGACACTCAACAATAGTAATAACATTTCAAATCTGCTGTCTCAGTAAATGTAAGTGAAAAGAAAAACAATAGTATGGGATTTTTTACTAACAACCAACTTTTACTGAATGACATGTATTTCTAATTACTACCAGGAATCAGTTTATTTTCAAATATAGAGGGCCCAGATAACAAAACTATAAGCAGACACAAAACAAGACTCATTCTATTAGGAAGTACTGAAGTTACACAGAATATATATTCTGAATACTCAGTAATATTAAGAAACAACAAGTAGATAACTGATAAATCCCCAAATATTTGGAAACCTCAAACAAACCTATAACTCTCCCATGCATACATAATGAGGAAATCATAGAGAAAAATGTTTTAAAGTGAATGATAAACTAAAGTGTAACACAATATACTGGATGCAGCTCACCCATACAGAAGAAATACACAAAACACATATCAATTACGCATATAAGAGAAATGTTGAAGACAAGAAAATCAGTTGTTTAACCTTCAACTTTTAAAACGCGGAAAATAAACAAAACAAATATAAATACTAAGGCAGGATCAGAAAAAAATGGGATGAAAATGAACAAATAACAGTATCAGAGTAGATACAGATGGCTACTTAAAAAGACAACTAACTTAAATTCTGTGTACACTGAACAAGAACAAAAGTGCAAAGTACCAATATCAAGAATAAGAGGGAAAGTATCACTAATGATTCTGCTAAAAGTAAATAAAAAATGACGCAGCAGCAACTTTATACTAATAAATATGGCAGAAAAACATAACTTTTTTGACAAAGAATTGAACCTAAGTCTTTTGTAATGAACTATATCCTTTTTTTTTTTTTTCTATTTAAAATTTATTTTGAGACGGGGCCTGGAGAAGTCAACCAGGCTGGGCTTCTTGTCTCACCCACTGGACATTTTAAAGACATAAGCATGACAAAAATTTTGGAAAATCTAAGTGATTCTATCTGTCTGTCTGTCTGTCTGTCTGTCTATCTCTCTGAAACTGAATTCACAAGTAATAAACCCACCCACAAAAAAAGCCTACCTGATAAGGCTTCATTAGTAAATCTTGTCAAATATTTAAAGAAGGAACAATGAACAATGCCAGAGAGATATCAACAAGATGATAAAATCCCAGTCTGTATTCCTAAACAATTTACCAAAGACATAAGGGCAAAATATCTGTAAGAGAAATGCAGACTTAATTTAAGAATTACCAGGATCCAAGCAAGCATGTATCCAAACACAGCTCCACAGAAATGGGTAAAAAAAAAGTAATTGGCCCATGCCCTTACACCAGACAGAAATTAACTTGAAAAACATTAAAGAGAGGGTTGCACATGCAGCTCAGTGGCAGAGTGCTTGCCAGAGTGAGCTGTGGGCTAGGCGTCACCCCACGACTGCACGTCTACAGCACACACATACAAGCAAAGGGAATTACTTAAAATTTAATTATAAAACCAGAAACCACAAATTCCCTAGAATAAAACAGGTAAAACTTTTTTTATATTATTCTTGGTAACAATTTCTCAAATATGCCACCAATAGCAGAGATAACAAAAGCACAGATTATATCACATGCTAGACATATGTGCATTATAGGACATAATCAACAGAATGAAAGTTTATGGAATGAAGGAAAATATTTGCAAACATTCTGTTTTGACATGAGTTAGCATCCAAATGTATAAGAAAGTCCCCTACCTCATTACCAAGGAAAACAACGTCTTTCTAAAATAGGCATGGGAATCAAACACTGTCTTAGTGCGGCATTATGTGCTATAGTGCCCTGGGAAGAAAATACCCTTGCCTGGCCAACATTTTAACTTAGCCTCCTGGACAAGAAGCATTTGCTGCACCTACCTTCTGTCTAAGCTGGTTTTTCTGGTGAGAGCTGAGAGAATTTTCAACAAGGTACAGCTGCAAATCCCTATCCTGCTATATTTGGTAAATCTAATCTTAGGACAGACACCATGAGAGGTCCGATCAGCAGTGTATGATTAGCTGTCCTCACTGAAGTTTCCAAGCACCTTGAATAAGGGGAATTTTTCATCTTTTTTCTCTTATTTGTTTTATGGATTTATCTTACTTACTTCTCTTATTTACCTCTCTTTTCACTCTTTTTTACCTTATATATTTTTCATTTTTCATTTCTATGTTTATTTTTCATTTCATTCTTTTTAAAATTGGTAATTGTCCTTTACTTTCCTCTTTCGGGTCTCCCTTTCCGTCATCCCTCTTTCCCCTTCACACTGAGAACTGAGCCCTGAGACTTCTGCATGTCATAGCTCAACCTTTGAGCTGCACTCCCAGCTCAGCTGGTATTAAATAAGCCACTGCAGGTACAACCTGCCCACTCAAAACCTAGAGGATACTTCAGTTTAAAGGGGTGATGCAAGTTTTGCGCTGCCCTCCTCTCCCCAGGCAGGCACACCTAGGGAGAAGCTGCGCTCCAGCATTTGAGAAGATACTCCTACCCGAGCTGCAGAGAGAACGGAGAAAACCAATGGCTCCTGACACTGCGTTTAGGCAGGTCCTCCACACCACCAGTCTCAGCTTCCCTGACCAGACCACTGTGGCTGATCAAACTGAACATGAGGCCTACAGAGGAGGAATTACGATCCCAGCTCCTACTCCTAAGAAGCAACTAAATACACACCAGTATCCAATTAAAGGGTAAGAATTTCAGGGCCTTTAGCATGACTGGTGTAACCAGCATCAGAATCCTTTTAACTAAGAGCGCCCATCGAAATTTCCATTCCTGAAAGAGGATACCACCCTCACGATAAGAGTAACCACAGAACACACATCTCAAATATTCTGCTGCATCACCACATCCGCCTGAAATACTAGACTATCTCCATTTTTAGAACTCTCACACAAAGTGTCTCACTGGCATCAGCAGGGCACTTTGTATCAAAACCAATGAATCATAACTAAAGAAGCTTAAGGGAGATGAAATTATGGATTTCAATTAAAAGTAAAATAAACTGACATCCTAAATCATACTGGAAGAAAAAAGCTGCACACAATGAAGGCCAACACAATAACGAAGAAGAAATATCTAGACCAACAAATGTACAAACTCAGTAGAGAAACACAAGGAAAAAAGTTAGTTTACTGTTTGCCTAATACATCACAAAACCAAGGAAAAAATGGACTAGAAGAAAAAATGGAAAGGAAGCTTTCATAAACAAGGATGGAAAGGGACTGAAAGGAGGGGCAAGGAGAGAGAAAATAAAAGGAACCAAGATATACTGTGCACAGGTACAAATTCCCTGTGACAAATGTTATCACTGAGTATACATCACAATGTACATCACAATGCCACGGTAACAAATTCCAAAGAAACTGAAGTGGAAAAAATGTCAAAAAATTAAAAGCATGACATGTTTGAAGTTCAAAGAAATCCAAGTGAATACAAGTAAATGGTTGAATGAATTAAGAAAGACAATGAAGGATATGGATGAATATTTAAATAGATTTTAAAGAAAAAAAGGAAAAGAAGAAAATTAGGAAAAAAACACAAAAACTCATGCTAAAAATTCAGTTGTAAGTCTCAGTTTTGATCAAGCAGAAAAAGAGATTATCTTGACAGCAGACGTGGTATAACATTACACTCTGACAGCAGCAAACAAGAACATAGCCAGAGTGGTCCTTCCTGGCAATCCCCTCTCATGCTGGACAGTGTATTTTTCTTTTTACTTGGCCCAAATTTGCTCTGAAGTGCCTATTTCTTTACCTATCTTTAATAAATGTAAAATTTTGCTATTTTAAAATGAAAAATGAAGGAAAAATACAAGATCTCTAAAACAGTATTTAAAGATAAAATTTCCACATAATCAATATAGTAGAGAAAGAAGAGCCACATGCAAACAGTACAGAAAAAAACACTCAATGATTAAGTACAGAAAATTTTCCAAATCTTTGGAAGGGTGTGAACATCTACATATAGGAAGCATTTAAAACCAAGCAGTCATGGTTTAAAAAAGAACATCTACACAACATAGGTAAGTTTCAAAAAGTAAAGAATCAGAATCTTAAAAGAGAAGTGCTAAGTCACTTTAAAGACAAACTCATCAGACTAACAGCAGGTTTCTCAGCAGAAATTCTAACAGCCAAGAGAGTATAAACTAATATATAAGGTTTGCCAGGCATGGTGGTGCACACCTGTTATCCCAGACTTCAGGAGGCTGAGGCAAGAGGATGTGCACAAGTTTGAGACCAGCCTGGGCTACAAAGTGAGCTCAAGGCCAGCCGGAACTGCATGGCATGACCCTGTCTCAAAACAGCAAAAACAAAACATGTATGAAGTTTGATTGGAAAGTATGGTATGTGTTAAAAAGGTTTTACAAATTTATTACAGTAAGAGATAAATCGCCACAAATCCTTAAGATATTTTCCCCTTGGTTCAAGCACACTATTCTCATCACTTTCTGAATCAAGTCTGGAAGTCCTTGGTCATGAGTATCTTTAGTTCCATTGTCATGGCTGCCTTGATGTCCTAAACTGATTTAAAATGTTTCCCTCTCACAGTCATGTTGACTTTGGAGAACATCCAGAAGTCTCACACAGCAAGGCTCAGCATATGAGGTAGCTGGGCACACATCCCAAAGCGTTTACAAGCCTGCCTTTCCATTGGATGGTACTTGGCAGCAGTATTTACTGTATTTTTCAGGCCTCATAAAGACACTCATGAAAGAAGACCTCCAGAATTGCTTGAGAAACTGGCAAAAATAATGGGATGTGTTCATAGTGAGGTGGAATATTTTATGGGAACTTAAGGGCAATGTGCCATTTACTGCAGTAATTATTTTAAATTTAGACACTCGTTGTAGTTCTGTATCACCCCTATATATCTGAGTACTGGAAAAAAGTAATGCCAAATAAGATTACTGTATGCTGCAAAGTTATCCTTCACAACCAAACCTTATAAAATAAATATAAACCAAGAGGATTTATATCCACTAGACCAACATTACAGAAGAAACATAAGCAAAAGAGAAATGCAAAAGAATCAAAACTTAATACAGTAAGTGATCAAATTTGTAAGACACACAAAAAGAGAAATGCACAGAACATTTTCAGTATAAACAAGAGTATCAACAAAATGACAAGTACGAATGTAAATGGTCTTAAGCTCCAAATCAAAGACACAGATTGGCTGAATGATTAAAAATCAAGACTAAGTAATATTCTGCAAACAAGAACTTATCTCTTTTGTGGAAACATCTGCAGACTGAAAGTGAAAGAATGGGAAGAATTACTCCAAGCAAATGGAATCTGCAGTAGGCAAGAGTTGTTGAAGTTATATCAACAAAATAAACCTTAAAATATAGTCAGTTAGCAGAGTATAGAAGATTACTACATATTGAAAACAGGAAAATACAACAAGAAGATATTAGAATTGTAAGTATTTAATCGCCAAACACTAGAACATCCAATTTTATACAGATATGGTAATACTGTGCAAGTTCAGTCTCTTCCAATTAATTTAGCATCCTGACCAAAAAACAAATCAATACACAAGTAACAGTTCAACCTCACTATAGAACAAATGGATATTTAAAAAAATCAGTGGCTTTTCTATGTATCAATTATGAAACCAGTAAGAACCAGATCAACCTCATTCACAATAGCCAGAAAATAAATAAGATACCAAGAAATTAACCTAAACATATTAAATACCTCTACGATAAAAATTATAGAATACTAAAGAAAGGAATAAGGAAGACGTAGGAGATGGAAAGAGCCGTATGCATGAAGTGGAAGAGTGTATATTGTAAAAAATCCAATTTCAATGCAATTTCAATCAAAATACCAATGAGGCTCCTCAAAGAGCTAGAAAAAAACAATCTTAAAATTCTTACGGTAATACAAAAAAACTCAAATCAAAAACAAAACAAAAAAACCACCTCAGTAAAAATGAGCAACACTGATGTCTTCACAGTACGATTTTGAAACATACTACATATCTACAGGAAAAGAACATAATAGCAAGTATAGGAAAAATAAGACAAGGAAATAAAATATATCTCAACAGAAAAAAAGAAAATACATATATTTGGAGAAAACACGATTTTTAAATTTAGAAGTAAATCTAAAGATCCCACAAAAAATGACTAGAAGTAATAAATCATTTCAGCAAATTTGCAGGATATAAAATCAAAACATAAAAGTCAGTGGTTTTTTATACACCAAGAGTAAAATTGCTAAGAAAGAAATCAAGCAACTAGACTGACTTACAATAGTTACAAAAGAACTTAGACATAAATTTCAAAAAGGAAGCGCATGATCTGTACAATGGGCATTCTCAAATATTGATAAATGACGGTATATAGCACATAAAAAAGAATAGAAAGACATCACACATTCACAAAATGGAAGAATGAATACTGACAAAATGTTCATACCACTCAAAGTAATTCACAGGTTCAATGTAATTCCTAGCAAATAAAAAGTTTCATCTGTTACTATTAAGAGAATAAAATAATATAACCACTTTGAGAAATATTTTGCGATTTCTTATAAACAAACACCATAGAACTCAGCAATTCTACTTTTATGAATTTGGTAATGGACTAGTACTATTAAAATCGCAAACATCCATAAGCAGGTGAATGAAAAACAGTGTGACAGATCTACACAATGAAATATCATTCAGAATTTAAAGGGTCAGGATAGTGTGCCATAAAACAGTGTAGAAGAACTATAAAAACACTATACTAAAATAATGCAGATGTAAAAGAATAAATGCTGTATCATTCCATTTGTGTTATTTTCTAGATCAGACAAAACTGCATCAAAGTTGCTTAGAGATGAATAAAGCGGCAAAGACTGCAAAAAGACATAAGCACACTTTGTAGGACAATGAAAAAATCTGTATTTTAACTGTGTCAATAGTTTCAAAATTTTGTCAAAACACTTCAACCTTAAAATGGCTTTAGTTTATTGTATACAAATTATATCTCAAGAGATTTGATTTTAAAAACCGATTAAGAGAACGTATTCTACAGATGGCAAAACATAGGATTTAAAACAATGTGATACATATCCAAGTAATTCAGATCCTTATATCTAAAAAACCATAGTATCATTCCTATCTTGTAATCAAAGAAATTTATAATATTTCTAGTGTCACTGAAAATACTGAATTATGTAGAAACACTGTCCTGTGATCCTTTTCCATGCATTGTGTTTTAATGGTTTCCCTGTCAAGGGAGTGATCAAACCCACCCACTGTTCTGTCTGCAGTACTAACAGACACCACCACCATGCTACCCATTTTGTTGGGAATACAACAGGTTAGTCTAGATCCCAACAGCGTATTCTCTAGATGAATTCTGTGCTACATTTTAAACTTGTTCATAACTGTTATATGGTTTGTGCCTAGATGTCCTGCCAAGGCCTCATATGGCCATAGGTGGGGATTTTCAAAGACGGCCGGATCTGGAGTGTGTGACTGAATCATGGTACAGTGCTGGGATTAAGGGTGCGAGTGCTACATGCCTTAAGGGAGAGTAGCTTTCTGCCTACTATGAACTGTTTCTCCCGAGATGTTCCTTTGCCATGCTGCCCTGTGAACTGAAAACTTACAAACTATGAGATATATAAACCATTCCTCTCTTAATTTTGAGTGTTGGGTATTTTGTCTCAGCAATGAGAAGAGGAACTTTGACAATTAAAGCTGCAACCTATAAAACCTAGATACTATTTTCTGGTTTATGTTTCAAATTGATTCATCTTCCACTGTTCTGCACAATACTAAGTCATATTTAAAGTGCATAAGAATTATTTAAATTTATTTAAATAAAATGATTTTTAAAAATCATATTTAAAGTGCATAGGAATTATGAAAAACAATAAAGTTGTTAATCTTTTTTCCTAGTTATCAGACTTACTTGTTCAGTACCACAATCACAGATTTCATTTCCTTCTACTAGGCGGTTTCCACATATTGGTCTGGGATTTCTTTGCATCTGTGGTTTATTCTGAAGACATCTGGCACCCACTTTTGAAATGAAACTTCTAAAATCACTCAAACTGCAATTGCTAAAAGTCTTTGCACCAACGGATTGTCTAAAAGTAAACTCATATAATGTCATTGTCAATATACCTCTGAAGTTATAAGTAATATATTTTATGTTTCGTTTCATAGACAATAACACATGTACCTAATATTGTAATAGTTCCTGAGGAAGTCACGTGGCTTCATTCACTAGAAAACATGACTTTATTAAAACAAAATTAGGTACAAATCAATAGTATAAAAAGCAATCTAAAAGTAAGTAATGAAATAAAAAAGGCTTCACTTAAAAATTTACACTCAACAACTCACTTTATTGAACAGATTATATTGTAGTTAGTCCAGAACTTCCTCAAAGATCTCAGAAAAACTGTACAATTATTAAAATATTATATAGTTAAATTTGTGTGACACTAGTCAAGATAACTTATTGGAATGCTTTCAAAGGATGTCTGAGTACAGATTAAAAACAACAAAGAGAAAAAGAAAACACTTAGTGAATACCTATTATGAGCCTAATATTTTGTATACTTGTACAACTGACCAGCACCTCTAACCAGGGATCTTGGTGTGGTCCTTGTAACTTTACAGAAACTGAAGTGGTGTTCTTTCCGTCATGGTGATAAGAGCCAGCAGCGCTTGCACAACACTCAGAAATGCTCAACAGAATCTACAGGTGCTCACAGAAGGAGACAAAAAATCCAAACGCAGGAAAGGGACCCGAAGGAGAAGCCTCCCAGATGGACTCCAGGACCAAGAGCACTTAGAGGATGAGCACAGCTGCTTCGGCTCCCACCACGTACAGTGCAGACCCAGGAACACGCTGTCTGGAGAAAGGCCCTCAGCCCGAAGGAAGCACAGCAGTGCAGCGGCAGGATGGCCACAGGGAAACCGCAGAGCAGCCCTGCTCAGGGCTCCTGCCAAGCAGCCACCCTCTCCCTGGAAGACAGAATGCAGCACACGACATGCTCCCAGGAAAAAGCATCCTCAGATTAGGACCCTGAGAAAGGCTGGGCTAGAGAATCACGTGGTGGGCAGGGACTCCCCATGGGCACCCCTAGGGGAAGCAAAGAGTGCAAAAACCACCAATGGTGGGGCAGGGCTGTCACAATCTAAAGATAAGGCTGAGTTACAGATCATGCACTCAGAAATACCTTAAGAACCACAAAACACCATGGAAACCAGATCAAACAACTACTAGAAGACTAAAAAAAAGAAAAGCACCCTAAGTATTACAGGAGTTAGGAGAAGTTAGAATAAAATTTATTCACTGAGATCACAGCGCAAAACATTTCTAAATATAAGGAAAGAATTCCATTTGACAGAGCTGTATCTCTTCGGGATATCTCCCTGAAATAGTTAAAGGCATCCTACTACAGTGGTATGCAGTGGCTTAAAGTAGCACAATTCACAATAGATAAAATATGCACGCAGTCTACATGACCTTCAACAAATGAATGGATAAAGGAAAGCAAATATAAATCATGATATATATCATGATATATTTATATGTATATAAAAGTTATGCTGAGTCATTTGTAGGACACTGAATGCATCTTGAGACAAAGTGTTAACTGAAATAAGTTGTTTTTCTCTCAGAATCTTCCTATCTTCTACCATTTTCCTCTATAATTTCATTTCATTTGGTTGAGAATATTACACATTTACATCATAGGGTTACAGTGAAAATTAAACATTAAACAAGGGAAGGCCTCAGTTCACCTCTCTGGCTTACAGTAATAAACCTTTACAGTATTGGTGATGGGTGAATTTGGCCACTATTTAGGTGTGCATTAGCTTTATAGTCTCTTAGGATTTTTGTACTCCAGCGGGTTTCTTTGAACACATAAAATGGAAAGAATAACATTTGACTATCATGATTTCTTCAGGAGCTAACATAAAATAATATATGTCTTACAGAAATGCAAAAGATCTATACATATGTGATATTGTTAGATTTTGTGAAAACTAAGATAATCCTCCCCCAAAGTACATTACAGGAGATTAGTGAGATATTGCCGATTATATATGACAGTATTTTGAAATATAACATACTATAAAAATCTAGAGGTTTTATTACCCCCAGATTCAAAACAGTTCAGCCACAAACTGTCTTTATCTGTTTTACATTGCAGCTTCTCATATATAAAAATAGGTATAACTGGAACTGCCCTATAGGGAGATGGTAGGAATCAAAAACAGTAAGTTACTAAATTTAAAGTGTTTGGAACAGTTTCCAACACCTAATAAGAACAATGTAAAATTTTATTAATATTATTATCATTAATATTAGACTGAATGACCTACACAAAATATTTTAACACACTTATCAGATAGCTAAATGTACAAATGAACCTTAATTTTCAGTTTTATGATATATACATATTCCATTTATCAATGTAGATAGAGTGATATAAATATATATCCATAGACACACTTGTATGTATATGCATATTATGATATTCTTTTTAGACATAATTCAGAATTAACTACATGATTATATACAAATTATAACTATATATGCTTGAGATTAGAATCTATTTTTAAAATCCAAAAGTTAATGTTTAAAAAGTGGTACTTAGCAGTAACTGTGAAGAGAGAATATTTTTTAAAACGCAATGCCTTTAGATACCAAGGTAGCAGAGCAGAAGCTGCCAGAAGTTCATAACCTCTCTGCAACCCGGAATGATGACAACTGACAAATAGCTGTTCAGCAAGGAAAAGCAAAGAAGACCTCTGAGAATCAAGAAAGGCCCAACAGGAAAGCTAAACACTGTGGAGAGTGGGGTTTAGCTCAGCAGCACAAGCACGTACCTGGCAAGCACGAGGTCACGAGTTCAATTCCCGGTACAAAAAGACAAAACAAAACACAGAGACAACGCAGGAAAAAAAAAAGAACTAAGCAGTCCACAACCTTAACCCCGTCTAATGGGGAAAGGGAACGGATTCTGCATTACAAGGTAAGGCTCCAGAGGGCCTTCAATCCCACTGATCAACAATAGGAAGCACTAGACCATGGAGGAAACCCAAAGTTACCGTGAGGTGCAAATCCAGTGAGATAGTTGTTTGTGAAGTGACCATCCTCTCATGGCAGGCTAGCGTTAAGAGAAGAAATCCATTACTGAGCTTACCGCATCTTGGAAGGTATGACTGGATTTGAGAAGGGTTTGTTGTTTGAGACTGAGCTGTTCTGGGGATCAAAGTTTACGGACCATGCCACACGTCAGGATCCCTGGAGACACCCTGCTGCAGTGACTGGGAGGAGAGACAGCTAAGGGAGAGAGTCAGGGAGAGGATAAGGGCCATCTCAGTCTCTGCGAGAAGTTTAAGAAGCAGGAAACTCAGGCTCTGGAGGTCTTGGCGGTCAGTGTTATCAGGCTCTCTTGCAAGGACCTAGGTCTGCCAGGTGTGGCTTTCTGATGTGGCAAGGTATGAAACTGCCAGACCCAAGTCCAGCAGATTGCTTGGCTTCCCTTCCAGCCCCCTCCCAGCACTAGACTCAGTTCTCTGTTTGCTTTACCCACACAGCCCCAAAACGTGTACAGCGCTGGGTGTCTGTTGGACATGGATATGCCCCAGTGTCATTAGGGGAGAGCCTCGGGAGCAAGTGGGGCATCTCAACCATCCATACACCACATGATATTTTGGGGACAGCAGTAGCTCATGGTGTAAGAGGATAAAATCACTAAGCTTCTGCTGAGAAGACAGACTTGAGAAGCATAACATACCACTGACTACCCAGCCAAGTGACCCAGGCAAGGGAGGAGGCAGCATTCACACAGCCGTGTGGTGTGCAAACACACTGGCCCTTCCTGGAACTCGGTCAACAAACAGCCCCCTGCCCTGCATATCCAGTAGATTCCAATAATACTTTTCCCATCCAAATAGCTAGGTGTGGAAACATTTTTTGGACTTTCTTTTGGTTTTACTTAGTTTCTTATTTCCACTTCTCTTTCATACTTTTCTTTATTTTCTTTTCTTAATGTATTTATTGATTTTTTATTGGAATAATTTTGCCTAATTTTATTTAAGTTTTTTGGATTTTTTTCTTCTTTATCTTTTGATTTTTGGAGTTGTTTTTGTTTTTTTTTAAATTTTATTTAAAGAGAAAAAAAACAAAACAGAAGGGTAGAAATAATACATAATTTCAAAAATACAGTAAGAAATCACTAGTTGGTAAGTTACATACTGTCCTCTTACAAATAGTTGTTCAAGTTATAAAATTAAGGCATACAAAGTGGACATTCAAACAGGAGACTGCAAACAGTTCTGTTCAATGATCCAACAAAAACTTAGTAATATGGTTGTCAGTCCTACACATTTAAACATACATGCAATTATATCCTTTAGAGGACTTTCTTTTCCTCTCTTTTTTATAGTAGCAATTATCCATTTTGGATTTTATTACTCCTTTTATAGGAGTACTATTCCATTATATAAAATACCACATGTTTTTCATCAACTCTGAGGTTAATAGGCATCTTGGTTGTTTCCAAGATTTAGCTATTACAAATTGTGCTGCTATGAACATGAGTGCATATATACAATGTGAAATTTGTTTTTGTTTTCTTCCTTTTCCTATTATGTTCTTATCTTATTCTCCAGATTCCTTTTCTTGTTTGTTTTGGATGTTAGTTTTACCTCATTTCATTTGCCTTTATAATTCTAATGGATTTTGGGTTTTTTTGTCTTTTTGAGACAAAGTCTCACTATGTAGTTCAGGTTGGCCTGGAACTCACTTCGTAGCCCAGGCCGGCCTTAAACTCATGCTGATCCTCTTGCTTCAGCCTCCCAAGCTGCAGGATTACAGGTAGGAGCCACCACACCCTGCTCGCTCACTCTTTCTTTCTTACTTTCTCTATTTATTTCTTTGACAGCTGCAAGAGAAAAATGCCAAGACAATCACAAATGAGAACCCATTAGAATAATTGCAGACTTCTCTAGAAGTACTCAAAAGGCCTGCAGAGAAAAGAATGATGTATTCAAGCCCTAAAAACGAATAACTGCAAACATATATTAATATATTCAGAAGAGCTATGCTTCAAAGTTAAAG